ATTTGCGGGAGATGCAGGGCGCGGAAAGGTAGGGGGCATGGGCCAGTCTGTTCTGGACAGGGACGTGGCCGGGCGAGGGCGCACCACGAGACAGGTCAGCTTCTTCACCATGGAGATCGACTCCTTGAAGAGCAGATAGCACTTGACCGCGATCGTCTCGATCATCCCCACCATCTTCTGCGTCAGGAAATTGAGGCACTTCTTGAGCGCCGCGTCCATCTGAAGGTGGTCAAAGCTGAGGTTGAGCTTGAAGACCAGCTTGCCCTCCAGCAGCTTGAGCAGGTCGAGCGAGATCACCTTGAGCCAGTTGATCGGCCGGCCGGCGGCGGAGAAGACCTCGGTCACGCGAGCGCGGACCTCGTCGACCGCGGCGCGGAGGCCGCCCTGCAGCACTCCCTCAAAGCGCGCAGAGACGAGGGCGAGGCGCAGGCGGAAGAGCGCCTGGCAATACACAGTGCACGCGCGGAACGCGGCCTTCTGCAGCGCCGAGTCAGCCTTTGCCTTCTCAAACTGCTCCCGCTTGGACAGACCAGCGGCGACCGCTGACGCCGCCGAGAAGGCAGCAGCCGCCGCAGAGGCAGCCTCGGCGTCTGGCTCGTCGGGAGCGAACCCCCCCAGGCCGTCGTCGTCGACCTCGTCCTCCTCAATCTCACCGACGGCCTCCACCGCCTCGATGGCCTCCTCAACCTCCTCTGCAATCTCCTCGGCCGCCTCGGCCTCCTCAGCCGCCTCGTCCTCCACCGTTCCCGCCTCGTCGATGCACTCCCCCTCGGCGCCGTCCACGTCCTCCCCCTCCTCCCCACCAGACTTGGCCGCCAGCTTCTTCGCCTTGGCCGCTGCCAGCCCCGCCCCCTTTGACATCGCGCCAAGGCCGAGCGACATTGACTTGGACATGAGGCCCTTCTTCTTGGGCTTCTTCTGCTTCTGCTCCTTTGCCGGCGCCTCCTCGACGGCTGGCGGCAGCCGGAGCCCGAGGCTGCCGTTGAGCATGTGGTACGAGATGCCGCAGCCGCCCGCGTTGGCCTCCGCGACGGCTGCGGTCAGCGCGGTGAGCGCCTCGGAGGCAACCTCGAGCGCCGCCTTGGCATCGGCGTTGAGCTTTGTCTCGTCGCCATAGAGCGCCTCGTCACACACCACTAGCCCGCGGTGAGACGTGCACTGCGCGACAATCGAGGCGGTGCCGTCGCTGTCGGAGAGCGTCGTCACGGCGAACGCGGGGCCGGCCTGCGTGAGGACCGGCCTGCACTGGTAGGCGCCGAAGCACGTCGCGACGCTCTCCTTGAGACCCTCGACGAGGCTCACCATCGTATTGTTGAGGACGACAGCGTGGTTGGCGATCCGGCCGGCGGCGAGGAAGATCGGGTCGAGCTCGGCGACGCCCAGCTTGCGCACGGTCACCGCGGAGAGGATCGCCGTCGCTGGGTCGCGCACCTTCCGAACCTTCCCTTCCGGTGCGCCCTCCGAACGGGAGGAGGATCGCAGCGACCCGCTGCAGCGCCAGAAGCTGACCGCCTCGACCGTGCCACCCTCGTCCTTGGCGCCCTCCTCGACGGCCGCAGCGTCGCCCGGGGCGACGGCCTTTGCGCCCGGCTTGCAACACGAAAAGTCAACCGCCTGTGTCGCGGCGTGTGCACGGTAAGGGGGGCGGAGAGTAGAAGTTGTGTGAGCGGCCGGCTTACCTCGACGGACGGACGGCGCAGGCCCGAGGCCTTGGATGGCGGCGCGTCCGCGTCGCCAGCCGAGGCGCCCTCTGCAGGCTCCGCGTCGCCCGCTGCGACATCTTTTCCGCCCGGCTTTAGCCACGCCATAGACGGACGGCGCAGGCCCGAGGCCTTGGATGGCGGCGCGTCCGCGTCCCCAGCCGCGGCGCCCTCTGAGGGCTCCGCGTCACCCGCTGCGGCATCTTTGCCGCCCGGCTTTAGCCACGCCACGGACGGACGACGCCGGCTTGCGGGCTTGGCGGCCTTAGGCATCTTCCCATCATCGAGCTTCAGCATCGTGTCAGTCAGCTCCGTCAAGGCCTTGGCTCTGGCCTCCTTAGCAGCCGCGAGAGTTTCCTTCTTTGCGGCGACGGCCTCCTTGGCCGCGGCCAGTCGCCCGCCAAGGTCAACTCCGGCAACGTCCTTCAGCTCTGCCGCCTTTGTGAAGTCCTCCTCCTTGACCGCCGCCTTGATTGCCGCCATGTTCTGCTTGAGCAACGCGTTCACCTCCTTCAGCGCCACCTCCTCCACGGACAGCGCCTGCTTTGCAACGCTGAGCGACTCCTCCGCTACGTCGAGCGCAGTCTTGCTCTTCTCGACCTGGTCGAGCACCTCTGCTTGCTCGGCCTGCCACGCTGCAAGCGCCTCGGCCCGGGCTGCATTGAGCTCCTCCTTCAGCCTCGCCGCCTCCTCGAAGTCCTCGCAATCGACGGCCGCGACCTTTTTCGCCACGAGGTCAGCAACGCGGGACGACTTGGCGTCCGCCTTGGCCTGAATGCGCGCAGCCTCGGTGACGTCGACGGGCTCCATAGTTTTTGGTTTTAGTGCACGCCACGAACCCAAACACGTCGCAAAGCCGGCGGAATACAAGGAGCGGACGTGCGCGGAAAACCGAGGCGACGTTCCACACATCTTCCTCCAGATGGCCGCAGACGCGCGCGTTGCTGAGATTCAGGAGCGCATCAAGGTGGCCGTAGCAGAAGAGGACTACATCAAGGCGGCCGCCCTGAAGGAGCAGCTTCAGGCCGCAAAGGCTGCGGCGTCGGCCGCCTTTGAGCGTGCCCACGCCGAGACCCTCAACAACCTCAAGCAATGTGAGGGGGAGCTCCAGGCGGCCAAGGAGCTGGTCGCGGCGGCCAAGGACCTCGTGGAGAATCAGAAGGCGACGCTCGCGGAACGCGTTGCGGCCCTCAAGGTTGCAAGGTCGGAGATGAAGGCGGCCGTCGATGTTGAGAACTACGCGGCCGCAGCAAAGCTGAAGAAAGTGCGCGATGAGGCCGAGGCAAAGGAGCGGAACGCCAGGGAGGCGTCAGTCTTGGCCCGAAAGGAGCTAGCCGAAGCGCAGAAGGGGGAGCGCGAGCTGCTCTCTCGGCACAATGGCCTAAACAAGTTGCTATCGGCAGCCGGAGAGGAGCCGAGCCGGGAGAAGGCGACAAAGGGCTTCAGCTTTAAGTCGCGCGCGAAGAAGCCAGCCGCGACCGGGTACGCGCGTATCTCCGCGAGTGGGTACACGCGTCTCACCGACGAGGCCGATGACGGCAGCGTCATCGTTGCGGCACCAGTCGACGCCGATGACGGCAGCGTCATCGTTGCGGCACCAGCTGCCTCTCAGTTGCTCGAGCAGCCGGGCTCATCGCACGACCCAGCGGAGGAGGAGCGCGGCATGGCAGTCGAAGTGCTGAGCAGGGACGGCCTCGCGCCCGCGGCTGCACCGTCGGCTGGGTCAAAGACGCGAGGGCAGGTCTGCTCCCTCGTGCACGCGCTCATCCTCGTTGCGGCGTTCTGGTTCGCTGCCTTCCAGGTCCTCGATTCGGTGCCACCCAGCAGCCGTGGGGGCGAGCTGCCTGGCGAGGCGATCTTCCTCCAGCGGACACGCGAGTGGGCGGGGCTGTGCGTGGAGCGGGCGGATGCTGTCTTCACAGCCATTGCTGCCTCTCCGGTCGGCCGCGAGGCGCACCAGCTGGGCGCGGCGGCGAGCTCGACCGAGGCTGGAGTGTGGCTGGGGGACGAGGCTCGCGAGGCGGAGGCGTGGCTGGGGGCCGAGGCGCAAGAGGCCGAGACGTGGCTGGAGGCTGAGGCGAGCCAGCTCGACGCCGCGCACTCGTGACCGGGCATGCTACGTATCGGCCACAAGCACGGTTCTCACATGACACATCCCATCATCTCAGGTGCACCGCGCCTCTGGTGTGGGGACGCCAGTGAACACACTGCTCACTGGTCACTGCGCGGTCATACGCTCCTGTGCCAGGTGTGTGATTCTGATTGCCCGGCGTGGGCGAGTGTGGGACGGCAAGGTGCTCCGGTCTTGCACGGCAAAGAGCAAAAAAATAAGCAACGTATTTACGGAACGTAAACGTGAGAACTGAGAAAACGGAAGCATGCACTCAGCTCCCCGGCCCTGGATGTGAGGCTGCCGACTGCACGACTCCAAGTGCCCCAAGTGCACTCTCTCGTCAGGAAACATGCACCGAGCGATCTGCCGTCCCCGATTCCGATCCGCAGCGGCGCCAACCCTTAAGTCAAACACGCCGGCCGACTCCCACACCCCTGCAGCCGCTAGCTAGCTCACGGTGATCGACTGGATGGCGACCTTGCTGCGCTGCTTCACTGCCTCAGCGATCTGATCGACGACCGCGAACGAGGCGTCGTCCTCGACGCAGGCAAAGACGCAGTAGCCGCCGTAGGCCGCGTCGAGGTGCGAGTTGGCGCCGAGGTTGATGAAGAACTCGGTGTTGCCGCAGTCTGGCACGTCCCAGTGTGCCACGGCGGCGGTGCCGCGCGCGTTGCTCACGCGCTGGTGCAGAGCCGTCTCGTTGACCTTGAGGTCGACGCCGAGCGGGTTGGGCTTGCCCGAGCCGTGGAGGCCGCACTGGATCACAAAGTCGCTGCGGTAGAAGCTGGTGCCATCGTATGCACCCGCGGCGGCGGCCCGCGAGATGTACGAGGCCGTCTCGGGCGCGGCGTCGGGCCGGAGCCGCAGCCGGATCACGCCGAGCTCGGTGCTGATGTTGAGCGCCATCGGCGCGGCGGGCTGAAGAGGAGGAGAAGAGATGAGCAGCCAGGCAAGCGGCGAAGGAATAGGCAGTAAATAACGCACGGGCGCTCAGCGGAGCTGGGAAGAGGACCGCCGCAAGCGGCGTGGCGTGGAGCGGTTGTGCATCCCTCCGGGGGCCCCTCTGCGCCGGGGAGGCGTTGTTGGAGGCTAGGACGCAAGCGTCCGTCGCCCTTTTCAAACTCGGGGCCCACTCCGCTACGCTCCGACCCGAATTTGGAGGGCCTAAAAGTTTAAGGTGTCGCTGCGCAAAAGGGGTCGGACACCGGGCGCAGCTCATGCTAAGAGCTAGAAGAGGAGATATAGAGAACAACCACCCTGTCCCGTTATTGCGTACACCAACACCACAAAACGCTCTCTCTCTCCTGTCCTCACTCAGGGGGGTCACAACTACCAAGTCCCTCGACTAGCTGCCACAGGGCGCAGCTGCCACAGGGCGCAGCTGGAGACGCTCCCCCTCAATCGGCATCCACCCCCACCCGCTCCAGCCCCACTTCTGCTGCCGAGAGAGCTGAATCGAAGCAAGCGAGCCATTGCATCTTGGCGTGCTCCTGGAGCGCGGCTTTCTGCGGCCACGAGCACGGCGGAGTCGGCGTCGTAGCGCGCATCGTTCCCGCTCATCGCCCATTCCTCCCGTGACGTGTGTCGGCCGCGATTCGATGTCGCCACCTTCATCGCCAACGAGGACTCCCTCGACTGCAGGGGGGCTCCGGCGCGGGGAGGGACTCCGCCTGCTGCGCTGGCCGACTGCGCCCTCCTCCTCCATGGGCTCGATCCGATTCCGCAGCGGCGGTGCTGCGCGGGAGGCGGCCGCGGGCACGCTGGGCTCGATCAGGAGCTTTCCCTCAGTTGCTCCGAAAGCACGGATTTGGCGGACGTTCTGCTTTCAACTTTACGTCTTGGCACCAGCTGAAGGCTTGGGTCCCACATCGCCGGATTCGTGCACGGTATTCGGATTTTGCTATTTGCTCGTGTGGGGGTATATCGCAGATTTGTCAATGGTACCGCGTCTGCGACGCGGGCGCCTTGCGGGCAGAGCCCTTAGCCACCCTTTTATCTTGCGCGGTCAAAAGAATTCCGGCGAAAAAAAAACCCAAGAGAGGGGTTGGAGGGCGGGAGAACCCAAAAAAGCCGTCCAAAAAGCCACAAAAACCCAGCGAGCCTCCCGTTACGCGATTGCCGCGAAGCGCAGCATGATGCGTGGCCAGCTTGGGAGGCTGCCGCCGCTGTCAGAGGCGGCCGCCACTGCGAGGTATCGAGGGCCGACCGGCCGGGCGAGCATCCGCGCTGCCGACGACGTGCTCGAGGGTGACCTTCAGAGCGACGAGATTCTCGCATGCTTTGAGGAGGCGCTCGGCGAACGGCAGCCAGAGATGGGAACGGATGCTGCAGCAGGGCGAAAGGCGAACGCCGAGAGAAACCCGTATCGGCGATTGATATGTGTGTGTGTGTGTATGGCAGGCGCCAGGAATCGCGGCGGCATGAGCGGCGCCAGCCCAGCTCTGCTCGTCGACATGGCTCAGGGCAACGACCTGGCCTCGCTGCACGCCTTCCTCTCCGGGCAGCGGACTCGCGGCGGCACGTCGCTCGCGGCCCTGCTCGACGCGCGGCTCGAGACACAGGGGCAGGACACACTGCTCACCTGGGCCGCTAAGCACGGACGGGCCGAAGCGGCGCGGCTGCTGCTCGAAGCCGGCGCGAGTGTTGGGACGACCACTGGCGGCGGCGCTTCCGCTCTCCTCCTTGCGTGCTGGAAGGGATGCCTCGAGTGCGCCCGACTGCTCCTCTCCGCCGGCGCTGCGGCCAACCAAGCTGAGCATGGCGGCTTCACTCCGCTGTACGTCGCGTGCGAGCAGGGGCGCCTTGAGTGCGTCCGGCTGCTCCTCGAGGCTGGCGCGGCGGTGAACCAAGCAGATTCTGAATGCCGCACGCCGCTGTACGTCGCGTGCCAGGAGGGCCACCTTGAGTGCGCTCGGCAGCTCCTTGAGGCGGGCGCGGCGGTCAATCAAGCCGCGAATGGTGGCTCCACGCCGCTGTTCATCGCGTGCCAGGAGGGCCAGCCCGAGTGTATCCGACTGCTCCTCGAGGCTGGCGCGTCGGTCAACCAAGCCGATGACGGTGCCACGCCGCTGTTCATGGCGTGCCAGAAGGGCCACCTCGATATCGTTCGGCTGCTCATCGAGGCTGGCGCGGCGGTAGACCAAGCTGCTGATGACGGCGCCACGCCGCTGCTCATCGCGTGCCAGAAGGGCCACCTCGAGTGCGCCCGGCAACTACGCGACGCTGGCTCTGACATCCACCAAGCGTTGAACGATGGTACTCCGCCGCTGTTCATCGCGAGCGAGTTCGGCCAGACCGAGGTCGCCCGGCTGCTCCTCGAGGCCGGCGCAGCGATCGACCAAGCCAATGAGCAGGGCGCCACACCGCTGTTCATTGCGTGCCAGGACGGCCACCTCGAGACGGTCCGGCTGCTCCTCGAGGCTGGTGCTGCGCCCAACCAAGCCAAGGATGACGGCGCCACGCCGCTGTTCGCCGCGTGCCACTACGGCCACCTCGAGGTCGCCAAGCTCCTCTCCTCCTACGGCGCCTCCCGCGCCGCAACGCCCTTTGGCACGCCCGGGGAGGTCGCAAACCGCCGCGGCCACGCCGACCTCGCCGCCTGGCTGGTCGCCAGCCGCGGCTGGACGCCGCTCCAGCACCTCGAGGCGTGCCCCGAGACTAGCGGCTGAAGACGCGTGAGAGCATTGTCCTCACGCGCATTGTTCTCTTTCGCAGGCGCTCACCGTAGAGCGGGCGCGGGCGCTGCTGCGCGGCGGCGCGGACTCTTCAGCCGGCGAGCCTTCGGCCCTCGAGCGGGCGCGCGTCCTCTGCTCGTGGAGCGAGTCGGATCCGACCGCTGCGGCCGTCGGTTCCACAGTCGAGATCCGCTCTCTCGTCTCGCGGCCGTCGATGAATGGCAAGGTCGGTGTCGTTGTCTCCGCGAGCGCTTCGACGGGCCGCTTCGGCGTGCGCGTGGCGGGCGAGGCCAAGGCACTCGCACTGAGGCACGCTGTGCAATGGTCTCTCCCCCCACTCGCCGGATGTTCTCTTTGAACACTCCTCGCCTCTGCCTTCCCCCAGGCCGGCCAACCTGGAGCCAGCGACCGAGGCGGTGGAGGTTGGCAGGCTCATCCTCAAGGCGGCGGAGTGGTCGCCGCAGTCGCACGAGCTCTTCCCGGAGGCGGCTCGCAGGTGGGCGGTCGAGGTGATGCGGCTGGGCTATTTGATCGCTTGGGACGAGGAGCGGTTTGAGCAGGGTGAGGGGGCGGCGCCGGGGCTGGTGGACCTCTGGCGCGAATTTGTGCTGCCTAGGGTGGTGGTGCGATGACTGCGACGGTTCTGGAGTTGGTTTACGAGCGTGTTACGTGTCCTGCTTCGTTTTTTGTCTGACCCTTTCCCTTTTCTTCTTCGCACAACACTGGGCACGGGGCTGGCGCGCACTGGCACACAAAATACATTGCGGGAGCCTCGTCCCTCGAGACACGAGAGCGACTCCGGAAAAAGAAATAATCCTGGGAATTCTTCCTTTTCGCTTTTGCCGCTGTTGCTTCGGTCTGTGTTTTGTGAACGTAAAAAAATCTGTGGGCCTGAGAGCAGCGATGTGCCATGTGTGTGTCCGCCTTGCGTTGTTTCATGACATCGAAGCCTTGCTCAGAAAAAAACAAATCACTACACGGAAGGTGGCTGAGTCATAGGCTTCGATGTCCGGGCCTGCGCTGCTGCTGCTGCTCGCGCTGTGCGGCGGCGCGAGCGCGCAGTTCTTCCAGTTCCAGCAGGGTGGCATCAATCTCGAGGACCTGATGGGTGGCGCATTTGGCGGCGGCGGTGGCGGCGGCCACCACGGCGGCGGCGGCCGAGGCGGGTACGAGGAGCTCCCGCAGGAAGAGGAGGAGGAGGAGGTGGACCTGTACGAGCGGCTGGGCATCCAGCCCGAGGCGACCGACCGCGAGATCAAGAGCGCCTACCGCAAGCTCTCTGTCCAGCTCCACCCGGACAAGAATCCCGACGGCTCGACACTGGGCCGCTTCCGCGAGGTGTGGGCCGCACCGCCGCTCCCGATAGCGTGGCCGCCAGCGGCGGCGCCGCCGCGCGCCGCTACCACCCTGTCAGCCGCCCCGCCGCCGCGCATCGCACACCTCTCTGGCGATGCCTGCCCACCCGCTGCCAGCTGCCGCCGCTGCCGCCGCTGCCGCCGCCGCTGCCGCCGCCGCCGCCGCTGCCACCGCTGCCGCCATCGCCGCTGCCGCCGCCGCCAGTCTCACCGCACCTGCGCCCCCCCGCGGCGCTCCTCGACCCGCGGCGCCGCGCTCCCGCCGGTGACCGAGATTCTCTGCACTGAGCCTCTGAGCCTCTCTGAGCCACGGTCCGGTCGGCCTTGCCGCAGGTGACCGAGGCGTATGAGATCTTGGCTGACAAGGAGAGGCGCGTGCTGTACGACTTTGGCGGCATCGGCGCCGCGCGCAAGGGGGCGCAGGAGCAGGAGGGGGGCGGCTCGCCCTTCGACATGTTCTTCGGGGGCGGCGGCGGGAGGGAGCAGTCGAACCGTGGCCGAAACACCGAGATTGACTTGCCGGTGACGCTGGAGGACTTGTGCGCGAGAGGGAGCCGAGAGGGAGCCGAGAGGGAGCCGAGAGGGAGCCGAGAGGGAGCCGAGAGGGAGCCGAGAGATGCGGCCGAGAGGGAGCCGAGAGGGAGCCGAGAGGGACCCGAGAGGGACCCGAGAGATGCGCCCGAGAGGGAGCCGAGAGGGACCCGAGAGGGACCCGAGAGGGAGCCGAGAGATGCGGCCGAGAGAGGCGGCCGAGAGGGCGCCCGAGAAAGGGGAGCGGCCCTCTGCAGCTAGGCTGAGGCCCGCGGTGGCCTGCCGCTCGCATATTGCTGCCCCCTCACCCCCTCCTTTGCCCAAGCCCAAAAGTAGTCCTGCCGTGAGGGACGTTTTGAGGTTGTTGCCCCCCCCGCCCCCCCCCCCCCCCCCCCGGGCGGCAGGTACATGGGCAACGAAAAGTCAGCCACCATCAAGCGGCGGATCGTCTGCCGAAACTGCAAAAAGAAGCCGAACGTGCCGCGCTGCCAAGGGTGCGGCGCCTGTCCAAAGGAGAAGAAGATGGTCCACCGGCGTGCGGGGCCGGGCATGATAGTGCAGCAGGAGGTGAGGGTCGAGTAGAGCCGAGAGAGAGCCGAGAGAAGGCCGAGAGATCGAGATGCGGCCGAGAGATGGCCGGGCATGGTCGTGCAGCAGGAGGCGATCGCCGAGTGGACACGTCCGCGACACGCCCGCGACACGCCCGCGACACGTCCGCGACACGTCCTGCGCAGGTGATGGTGGAGTCGAAGGAGAAGTGCAAGCGCGAGGAGAAGTCGCTCAAGGCGGACGAGAAAAAAAAGGGGGTGGGGGGGGGGGGGGGGGTGCCGGACCATGCCCGCTCACCTCCGTGCCATTCTCTCCCGCCACTTGCCAGGCGACGATAGAGAAGGGGATGCCCGACTCGGAGCAGATCACCTTCAAGTACGAGTCCGAGCAGAAGCCCGGCCAGATACCGGGCGACGTCGTCTTCAAGCTGAAGCCGGTGGGGAGATATGGGGAGATATGGGGAGATATGGGGAGATACCGGGCGACGTCGTCTTCAAGCTGAAGCCGGTGGGGAGAGATGGGGAGATATGGGGAGAGATGGGGAGAGATGGGCAGATACCGGGCGACGTCGTCTTCAAGCTGAAGCCGATGGGGAGAGACTGCCGAGATGTGGCCCAGATACAGCCCAGATACAGCCCAGATACAGCCCAGATACAGCCCAGATACAGCCTAGATGTGGCCCAGATGTGGCCCAGATGTGGCCGAGGGTGTGGCGGTGCGCCGTGCTCGTTCCTGCGCGCAGTCGCGCCCTCTTGTCGCATCTCCGGCTCTCCCCCTCCCCTCCAGGTGGCGCACAAGTTCTTCAAGCGCAGCCGAGAAACGCTTTCAAAGAAGAGGGGGATCCCCCTCCGGGGGGGGTTTTTGGGTTTGGAGACCTCGAGAGGCCCCAAAAGGCCCCGAAAGGCCCCAAAAGGCCCCAAAAATAGGCGTTTTTCGGTTTAAAAACCTCTTTCACGCACCTGGAGGGCCCCAGGGTCCCCCCCAAAAGGAGGGGGGTCCAGAGGCTGTAAAAAGGTTTTTTTCACCCCTTTAGGGGGGAACAGGTCCCCACCAAGAGGAGGGGGGTGACCAACCCGGGGAAAAGGGGGTTTTTTTGGGCCCGGAGGCCGTAAAAAGCCCCCCCTCACCCCTTTAGTGGGGAACAGGCAGAGCTTCAGGTTCAAGGGGGGGGGGGTCCCCAACCCGGGGTTTTTTTCGGATTTGGGAGATTTGGTTTTCCCCTTCGGGGGGGGTTCCCGGCCCCCCCCCCCCCCCCCCTTCTCCCCCCTCCCTCCTCCCATCTGCCTCCTCTCCCTCCTCCCATCTGCCTCCTCTGCCTCCTCCCATCTGCCTCCAAGCCCTCCTCCACGCTGCCCCCCCCCCGAGCCGTTGCCGAACCTCCTCCCACGCCACTGGACCAACTAGCCGCCCGGGCCCTCGACCGCCCCCTCGCCCTCGCGGCCCGCAGGTCGACTTCCCGCCCACCCTCGACGCGGAGCTCGCAGCTGGGCTCGAGCAGCTCTTGCCGCCCGCCGGGCCGTCTGACATCCGCATAGGCTGAGACGCGGTGCCTATGAGGCCTGCCCGCTCAGGGCGAGAGGGAGAGAAGCGCCGGTGCTGCCCCGCTGCCTTTGCGGCTCTCCAGCCTCGGCGCCGCCCCTCGCCGCGCCGCGTGAGGGCGGCAGCTCCGCCCTCTGCGCCTGCCCGCGAGGCGCCGAGAGAGGGCCGTTGTTGCACACCGGACTGACACCGGACTGTGGCACGTCAGTGGCACGTGCGATGGACGAGATAGAGTTAGAGGCGGTGTGGAGCGCCGTGCGGCTCCGGGAGAGCGTGTGTGTGGTAGCTCTCCCCCCTGCAGCACGAACATAACCCCAAAAAGCAATTTTTTTCTCGGACGGGCCGAACGAAATCGAAAAAGAAAAAGCTGCGCGCGGGGGAGGGGGCCGCGCCGTGGGCCGTGGCGTCGGAAAGTCTGGCAGAGCGCGGCTACTTGGGCATGAGCCATGAGGGAGCACTTGGAGCACTTGGAGTGCAGTCATTAACCTCACATCCAGGGCCGGGGAGGCCCGCAGGCCCGCCCCGATAAAAGAATGTGAGCGCGTTTTCATCCTTTTCCCGTCAGGGGCTGCCTCGTCTGTAAGGCCGCGAGGGACGCGGCGAGGAGGGCAGCACTAAAGCGGGACCCGCTGTGTCCGATCGTGCGGAAAGCCGCGCAGCAATGGACCGAGGAAGATGAGAACCCGCCTAGAGCGACAATGGCGCACGTGCTTAGCGGCGCCTGCCTGGGGAATAGGGAGCAGGCCAGATGGTTCCTCAGAGTAGCGCGAGCGCAGACAGGGACGGCGATCAGCAAAGTGGCACAGGCGGCACCCGACTCCAAGGAGACGCTGAAGACGCTGAGGATGGCGCATGTCGCTGCGCTGAAGGGCTCACGCTACAGGGTGCTGGACGAGGACGGGTACGATACACTGGCCCCCGCAGTCGGGGGGGTGTTGCCAGCACTGGTAGATGACCTCTCGGAGAAGAGCCGAAGGGACCTTGGCACCGGGGTCACGAGGAACTTGCAAGTCGTGGCCGAGGCGGCGACGGGAGCGGTGCAGAGGTGGATACAGCTCAATGACGAAGCAACGGCGCGCATAATGAAGAGAGAGGAACACATCGAGTGGCTGAGGAAGCTCTTCGCTGGGTGGAAGGAGGCCCGCCCGGCCTTGAGGGAGTCGCGGAGGAGGAGGGATAACGGAGGCAACGTGCAGACAGGCCAACAGCCAGTGGGACGAACGAGGGCCGCGACGGCGGCTCAAGCGGGAGGGAGCGGAGACGGTGGGCAGAGAGCGAAGTGGGTGAGACTGATGATGCTCCTTCGACTTAGGGAGCGGTTCCGCTGCTGGGCGAGCTTCAGGATGGTGCTCACGCGAAAAGGAATCGACGCGATGTACAAAGCATACAAGAAGAGGAGAAAGAAGAGGAGAGGCGCCAGTGATGACGAAACAGAAGCTAGTGCAGACGAGGGCAGGGCAGACCCGGGGACGGCGGAGGCGGACCAGACGGCATCGACCGCCGAGGGAACGTTGGGAAGAGGCACGAGGAGGGCGGCGACCTCAACCGACTATGGAGGACCCGTCACCAGACGACGCAGGGCGGACGACGGTGAGGCGGAGCAGTCGCGCAGGGCGAGACGAGGGAGGGAGCAGGACGTTGCGGAGATCAGCAGGAGGATGTACGAAGAGATTAGGAGCAGCAGGGACCCGAGGGACCATGTGGAAGACGGCTAGTGCTAGTCCCCCATCGGGAGGACGACCCCGGCTAGCCGCCGACCACACCCACAAAGAACCCTGCACAAAGACCGCAGGGCGGGGACCTGTTCCTTTTTACCCATCTCCTAGTAGAGGTGTCCGTTTTATTTATTTATTTCCCTTTCCCGTCTTCGTCTAGAGAGTAAGTAGAGAGAGCGCATTTAACATAACCGAGTACGGGCTACGGCTCTGGTAGGGGTCCCGTACCATGCGGAATCGACCCTATTCAGTGCTCAAGTGCTCAAGTAAAGGGTGTGGACCGTGACTCACGTGAGTTGACCTGTTGTTGACCTGTTGAGGAAATCGGAGGACGCGACCCACTTCGCCCAGACGGTCCCGCGCCTCGCCGCTATGACAGTGGCACGGCCGCAGCTCGTGCGTGCCACTGTCTTTGTCCGGAGTGAATACTCCAATGCGCTCGTCGGTGACGGTGTCCTCCAACCTGCGCCGCGCTCGGCGAACCTCGACAGCGCCCACGGTGGCATGCAGCTCTTTGCGACAGAAGCCTGGAGAGCAGCTCCTCTATTGCTCACACACTCTGCACAGTTGACACAGCCTACTGTGCGGCTGCCACAGCTGTGACAGCGATGGGCTCGCCCTCACTGGCCCTCAGTCACTTGTGCTGCGGCTTGTGTGAGCGACACTGCTCGGCGACTGCCGGCACACTGTGAGACCATGGGTGTGAGGTAAAACCACGCTACCAGCGCTTGGTCACATCGGCCCCGAGGTCAGATCCTTCTACTCTGTTGATGACAAGACTTGTCTACTGGCTGGAGCCGAGCAGGAGGGCCCAGCGCACAACCCCTGGTCAACTCAGGGTCCGCACACCCCGTGTTAAACTTTCCCCCTCTCTAGGGAGAAACCCGGCACGCCCCAACAGCAACACATGCGACACGAGTCCTTATTTCGTTCATCTCATCGGGACATCTCACGCTCGATCTCTAGATCTATCAACCCTGCTCCAGCAGCGGCAATGCTCGTGCACAGACACCATCACTCATGCGATTGTTAGTGCTTGGTCGCCTCCCCCCCTGGTGTCCACTCGGAAGCACATTCATGCGGAGGCCCTCCTCGCTACGAGGCGGGCGACAGAAAGGGGGGCGGGTGGGGGCAGAGGGGGGGGGGGGGGGCAAAAGGGGGGGGGGGAAGGCAAATCCCCCCCCCCTCACCCCTCAATGGAGGCGGGGCGGCCGGCGTCCTCCAATAGGATGGGGGGGTCCTCCAGCCTATTCATCGATGATGGCGAGCGGTCCGTTGGTCCTCCTGAGGAGGATGGGCCAGGGAGCGGGGGGTTCGTCAAGCCTCGTCCGCTTTAAGGGGGAGGCAGCCACACCCACACCCTCCTCCTCGTCGTCCTCGAAGAGGGGCCGCACCAGCCCCTCCTCCTCCTCCTCCTCCTCCTCGCCGGCGGCGGGGCGGCGGCGCTTCGCCTTTTGCAGGTACTCGCCGATGCACTTGTCGAGCAGCTCCTGCTCGAACATGACCGAGCCGGGCAGCTCCTAGACACTTCCCAGACATTTCCCAGACACTTCCTAGACACTTCCCAGAACATGACCGAGCCGGTCAGCTCCTCCTCGGTGAAGGAGGCGCACCTGCAGTCGGAGCGGCGCAGGGAAGGCGTGAGGCCCGCGCTCCAAGCAGACCCCCCCCCCCCCCCCCTTGTGCCACGAGGCGCACCCACGCTGCACCAGCTCGAAGGCGACCAGCTGCCGCCAGAAGCCGCGATTGGGCACCGCCTGTGCGAGACGAGCCGAGATGAGCCGAGATGAGACGAGATGAGACGAGATGAGCCCAGTCCAACCTTGTCCAGCCTCGGCTCATCTCGTCACAACTCTTCCCATCTCGGCTCATCTCTTCCCATCACGGCTCGTCTCTGCTCCTCTCTCCTCACCTCTTCTCATCTCTGCTCATCTCCTCCCATCTCCTCTCCATCTCCTCTCCATCTCCTCTCCTCTCGGCTCCCCGCCGCCTCTGCGCGGGCGGCGCTCAGCCGCTCCGTCGCGGCGCGGAGGGACATGCGGCGGTGCTTGACGAGGTAGGCTGCGACGACGGCGGCGGAGGGGGAGGCGCCGGCGAGGCACGCGACGAGGACGCCGCCGCCGCCCGCTAGCGCCTCGGGTAGGGGGGGGCAGCGGGTTTGGCGAGGGGGTGGGGGAGCATTTTTGTGTGAGCGCGCCAACTCGATCGCGTCACACAGCTTGTCGATGAACGAAAGCAAATCGCTGTCCGCCCTGTCGGTAATGCTCCGCTTGAGCCACTCGATCGGCCGCTCCTTTGCTGCGCCGGCGCCAGCGACGGGTGGCTCGGCTTGCTCCTCGTGCAGCGAGAGGACAAATTGGATGTTGTGTTCGGCGAGGGCCGAGCGGTCTCCGAGGCAGCCGATGCCGCCAATGAACAGCCCAGAGACGATCTGAAGGCATGAGTGAGAGGGTCGTGGTGAGGGTCGTGGTGAGAGAGGCGCACACACTAGCGGAGCGAGAGTCGCTCGAGGAACGAGATTTCCGGTGGCAGCGGAACCTGGTGCGCGTCCCACACGTCTTCGTTCTCCTCGTCGCTGCTGTCCTCGCGGATGCCGTCGATGTCGAAGCCAGTCCGGCCAGCCATCACTCTGTGGCTTTGATGAGCCAACTTGGTGCCCACAAATACGCCGAAATTTCGCGCATTTCTTTTATTTGCTTTGTTGCCCGTCCCGCATCGCACCAGCAATTGTGAGTGAGTGAGCTCACACACTCACACTCACGCACCACTTGGAGCACTTGGAGTGCACTCAGTAAGCTAGTGCGGGGCAATTCTTTTCTCGCGATGCCGCGCCGCCGCTCGCGCCGCTCGGCCTCCGCCTCCACCGCCGCCCCCTCGGCAGACACGCCGCCGCCCGCCCGGCTCCTCGACCTCCCCAGGGAGCTCCTCGACCGCGCCCTCTCTCGCTGCGACAGCCCCGTCGACATCGCTCGCGCCGCGGCCGTCTCGCTGCTCTTTCACTCGCTCGCGGAGCAGCCGCGTCGGTTGGAGGCAGCCACAGCCTCGCCACCACCGCCGACGGCGCCGTCTGGAGCTGGGGCGGTGGCCACGGTGACCAGCAGGACCAGCTGCTGCCCAAGAAGCTCGAGACCTTTGCTGGCCAGCGCGTCGTCGCTGTCTCGGCTGGAGATGGTCACAGCCTCGCCATCACCGCTGACGGCAGCATCTGGAGCTGGGGCAGTGGAGGGCAAGGCCGCCTGGGCCACGGCGACCAGCAGCGCCAGCTGCTGCCCAAGAAGATTGAGGCCTTGGCTAACCAGCGCATCGTCGCTGTGTCGGCTGGAGTATTCCACAGCATCGCCGTCACCGCCGACGGCAGCGTCTGGAGCTGGGGCTATGGAGGGGCAGGCCGGTTCCACAGCGACATGCAGAACCAGCTGCTGCCGAAGAAGGTCGAGGCCTTGGGGGGGCACCGTGTCGTTGCTGTGTCGGCTGGAGGCAGTCACAGCTTCGCCCTCACCGCCGACGGCGCCGTCTGGAGCTGGGGCTATGGAGGTTTTGGCCAGCTGGGCCACGGCGACGAGCAGCGCCAGCTGCTGCCAAAGAAGGTCGAGGCCTTCACGGGCCAGCGTCGTCGTTGTGTCCGCTGGAGATTGCCACAGCCTCGCCCGCACCGCCGACGGAGCCCTCTTCGCGTGGGGCCAGGGCAATCGCGGCTGCCTAGGCCACGGAGAGGACCTGTCGAACCAGCTGCTGCCCAAGAAGGTCGAGGCGTGGGCGCTGGGGAAGCGAGGTATCGCGGAGTCACTCTGTACGGCCGGCCGGGCGTTTATAGCGGCGTAGCTGCACCACAGGAGCTTGTTGAAGCCAGCTCGCGCGGGGGAGGCGGTGCGGTGAGCATGTGGGCGAGTTGGGCTGAGTGGCGCCATTTTTTGGACCTTAGCAGTGGTGGGTGTGCCACTCTAGCTAGAAGAAACGATAGTTTTCTTTTTCAAGTAGAAGAAAGAAAGAAAGAAAACACACAGGTTCAAAGGAGGGATGGGAGGTCAAGAAAAAAGAAATAAAAACAAAAACCAAGGGAGGTCAAGAAATCCAACCACGATCCGCGAATTCTTTCTTGCATCGAGAATTCTCCACCCATCTTCGATACTCTGATTCAGACACGCGAACACCAATGGTGACTTCGCTCGCCCTCCTCTCGCCGCTCTCGGCCGCCTTTGTGGCCTCGCCGCTTCCGCTGGCACGCCACGCTGGCGGCCGCTCTCGCGTCTCCCTCTATATTGCCGAGGAGACCACCTCGTGGATCGAGCTGCTCCAGGCGCCGGCAAAGGCCGAGGCGGTTTCAGTCTCATTGACTGACACGACAGCTCTCGCGGCGGCGACCGTCGGTCTCCACTCCTCTGCGCGTCCGCCGATTGCCGAGCGGCTCGCCGTGGCACTGCGCGAGAGCGAGCGTATGCGCGCCTTTGAGTCGGCGGCGGCAAAGCTCGCGCTCTCCCGGGTGGTGGCCGAGAGGGACGCCCTTGAGACTGCGCTTCGGCACGGCTCGTCTTCCTACCGCGGTCTCCCCTTCCTCCACAGCCTCCGCCTCTGCCTCGCCCACGGCCGCACCGCCGCCCGCGCGGCCTGCGAGGACGCCGGCTGGGCGGTGTGGTGGGCGCGCGAGAGTGCAAAGAAGGCGCTCGGCCGCCTGCGCTACCGTGCGGCGCTGCTGCGGCTGCGGACCGCACTCGCGGCGGGGCGGTGGATCACGCGCCTCCGCACGCCCACCGCCGTCGGCCTCCCTTCCGCCGAGCCGCCCGAGCCGCCCGAATCCGCCGTCGCCGCCGCGGCCCTTGCTGCCCCCGGTGCAGCTTTGGTCGGTGTTGTGGTGCCAACTGGGACCAGCGCAGGTGGCGCCAGTGCCGGCGGCGCCAGCGCCGGTGCCAATGCGGACGCCGGCGCCGGGTACGCCGCTTGGGCCGGAGAGTGGGCCCGGGCCCACAGTGACGCATCCGCTGCGGTTGCGGGGCCGGCGGTTGCAGCTTCTCCTGCCGTGGCACAGCGCCGCGTTGTGGTGCTCCCGAAGTACTCGCTTTGATAGAGGCGCGAGCCAGGCGGCGAGTGGAGTCGACGACCGCATCCTACAGTAGCGTGTGCGCGAGGCTAGTTGGTGGAGTCGGGGATCCCACGTTTGCTGTTCTGTGCACTGTGGTTGTGTGCCGTTCTTGCGTGGCTTGATATTATCGCGGTCACTTGTTCTTGTTGGTGGTGCGCTGACGCGCGACATGCAGCGCGCGATTTTGTTTGTGTCTTTGTCAACCTTGTAGACACGCGCACCGATACATCAGCCTCTCCTCTCCACATTCTGATGACCAGATGAGTTCCCATCTGCATCTCCGGAGAGCAGCGACGGGCTAGACCCTAGACGCGGCGCAACCGCGAGGCCCGGCGGCGAGCGGCGGGGCCGGGCCGCCGCGGCTCTATCCTCTAACCTCTATAGGTGGGTGTTGATTGTTGTTCTCTCGTTGCTCTGATCCCTCCGCCCTCGCCGCCGGGCCTCGCCGCCGGGCAGGAGAGTCTAAAGTGCATGGTCATGCGGAGAGCACTTGGAGTGCCTGTTCAGCACGGCAGCCTCATCCGCACGACCGGTACAATCAGTTATCTTTGAGTTCACGCTCGCCCTGGCTCCCTTGCAGAAATAGCTCTGCGATGGCGTCGCTCTCAGGCGAGCCCTGAGCACGAGCTCTCGCGAAGCAGAGCGCAATTCTCTTTGAACCTTGCGCGACAGGTTGCTTCGCCGAGGCCTCCGGGGCGGTAGTGAACGTCGCGAAACAGCGCCAGGAGCATCCTGCGCCAGCGCTGCGCCACAAGTAAATGGATTCGCACGTAGCGCGCGCATTTTTGCCACCGCCTCCTCGCCCGCCAGTACAACAGGGTGCGAGCGACTGCGCGACTGCTGACACGCTCCTCGTCGGAGCGGCTCTCGTTCACGGCCTTTAGCCCGTACGCCACAGCCGTCATCCCATTTTTGTGCCGCAGGTCGAGGAGTGCCCCGCGCTGCAGGAGGATGTCGCAAGTGGCCGCGTTGGAGTTGATGACCGCGCTCATGAGAGGCGTGCGACCGTAATGGTTGGGATGGTCGATCGACGCGCCGCAATTGAGGAGGTGGTCAATCATTGCCCGAACCACAGTCGAGTCCTTTGCGAACCCGCACGCAGCAGTGAGCGCCGTGTATCCGTTCACCGCACTACACTTGGCATATGCGTTTGGGTCAGCACCCGCCTCTAGCAGCGTCATGAGCAGAGGAAGATCGCAACGGTATGCGGCGGTGCAGAGATTGGCAGCCGTCGGCGTGCGATTGTCATTCGCATCACTGGGGAAATTTGACTTGGTTTGGGGGCTCGCAGCCATCGGCGTGCGCTGATCGCTTTGCGTTTTGGGGAGCGCCGGCGGAGTTCTCGTAAGATGCGATTACGCCGGGATCACGGGATGCGCGCCACCCGAGCTCACGCGAAATATATTTTCCAGCGTTGGCAACTCTCGAGCACCCTCATATAAAGGACCGAAGCTGTGAACGTAGCTCTCGGGAATGTATGTAGAGCCCTGCCACGCCCCCGAGTGTGTCTCGATCGAGCCCAGCCAACGGCGACCACCACACCCGCCACCTCGTGTCCCGGCACCACCGGCCAGTGCTGCGGGATGCCGAGGTCCTTGGTCGCACCGACCTGCAGGTGGGGGATAGGGGGAAAAGGGGGAAGTGGAGGTGCCGAGAGGTGTAGCGAGCTGCTGGGGCCATAGACAAGACAAGACAGTATCATGGCTCAGGTGGTGCCACGGCCACGGGATACACGCACCGCAAACGTGAGATCAGAGTGGCAGACGCCACAGTATTTGACGTCGATCTGGACGTCTTTCGGTCCGACAGCGCGCCGCTTGATTGCAGCCGTCTCGAACACGCAGTCGATGTCACACTGGAGCGCGACTGCATCTACCTCACCGCCTGCCACAGCACCGGCCGTCACCGGGCTCCTCGGGCCAGAGGACCTGCGCGAGAGTCGCGACTCCTCCTCAGCGGCGGACTTCCTGCGCGTGAAGGTCTTGCGGGCCGACTCGCGAAAGTATTTCTCCGGCTGCAGATTTGGCATGGATAGCGACAGGGTGATGCAGCAGCGACCCCGAGGACCGACTGATCGATAAGCCTGCAGTCCGACGTGCGGGTCGGTTGTGAACACGTTCGGTCCACGAAATCAAGCAACCGATCGCGCACCCTACAATGTGTACGATCGTGGAGTGTGGTCTGTGATCGCTGCCCCCCAGGGGCCTCCTCTTGCTCCTTGCGTCCCGCACAACACTTACATACCAACACAAAGTCACCCCTCTCGCTGTGAACCTGTGATCGAGTGCGAGTCTGTTCTTTCACACGTGATTGTCTCGCGTTGTGCATCGCGCTGTGCCAGTTCAGATCTCAAGGCGTCTAGTCCCCATCCTCTTCCAGCTCGTCCTCGGACATGCCGTCCTGCTCCGACTCGCCGTCGCAGTACGTGAAGAAGCACAGCGTGACCTTCACGTTCCGCGCCTCGCACGCTGCGACGCTGCGCGCGTGCTCGGGCTCGCATTCGGCCTTCGCCGGAAGCCACAACTCCCGCAGAGAGGGGAAGGCGCCGTCGCTCACGGCCGCGGCCAGCACTTCTTGGCTAGCGGCAGAGATGCCGTCGTTGCCCTGGAGATCGAGCTTCTCCAGCGCCTGCAAGCGTCCCTCCCTCCCCACCCTCGCCAATGCGGCGACGCCGGCGCCGTCGATGTCATTGTTCCACAGGTAGAGCTCCTTCAGCTGCGGCAGCGCGCCTCTAGCCAGGGCACCCGCCAGGGCGCACGCACCTTGGCTGGTGATGTTGTTGGCGTCGAGGTAGAGCGTCTCTAGGGCGGGGAGAACGCGCTTTGGGCTGGCCGCGAGCGTCGCCGAGAGCGCCATGAAGAACCCATCACCGAGGCTGCAACGGTAGAGGTTTAGCCGCCGCAACTGTGGCAGCGCCCCGCCGGCCAGTGCGTGGAGAATGGGCAAGACCACGGTGTCCTTGCTGCCGTGCAGCTTGGCGACGAAGCGGCTCCACTCCATGTCGCCCAGGTCGAGGTCGCGGAGCCCGCGGAGCGAGCCACAGGCGAGCAGATGGCAGAGAGACAACGCGTCGCGAACGGCAGGGCCAAAGCGCTCGCTTGGGTGGGAACGTGGGTAGAACTCAGTCGCCGTTCTTAGCTGCGCCCGCGTCGTGCCGTTTGCCTCGCATAGCACCGCCGCCCTCTCCGACCAGTGCCGAAATAGTTGGAGTGCGCTTGGAGCACTTGGAAGCCCGGCCGCCTTTGAGCAACTGTCACCGCTAGCCCTGACGGCACCGAGCACAGCTTTGCAAGAGGCCATGAAGTGGCAGGCGGTCGCGGGGTGGAGCGGGTCAGCCACGGCGTCAAACACGAGCAGCAGGGCATCCTGCGGCAGATCTGCCAGGCAGCACGTGGTTGGACCGTCCTGCGGCTGGTTGCTGCACGTCATTGTCCGGTAGCGGCCGCCCATGTTTTTGGACGTCCCCCGCAAGTTTCCGCAAGGGAGGGAGGGAGGGAGGGAGGGAGGGAGGGAGGGAGGGAGAGAGAGGCGGAGGGCCTCTAGAGGGGCCTAGAGAACAGGTGGAAAGACGAATGTATGTGATTTTGTCCGCAAAGAGAGAAATCCCCGCCCGGACCTGGTCCTGGAAAAAAAAAGGGGGCCCCGGCGGCGGCGATGGGGGCGGCGGGGCCGACCCGGCCGGCGTTTGTCGGCTCCACCTACAGAAGAGCAGTCTCTGTGGGTCGACGATACTAACTCGGTAGTAACGCGGAGCGGTGCTGTGCGGCGCCGAGTCGTGCGCGAGGCGACCTCCTGAGGCTACCTGAGCTGGCAATGGATCTTTGGATGCCACCAGGACGCACGGCTAGCAGGAGCCAGTCAGGCATGCCCTGCTGTGGAGCAGAGCTGGCTGGCGCACCGGCGATACTAACTCAGCGCGCCGCGAGAGGCGAATCTGGGCGACTTTGGAGGCGCAGTTCTCGAGCTTGCCGTCGACGATTGACGTCGGGTAAATTGTCACTGCCGTCCGGGATGACCTAAATTGTCACTGCCGCCCATAGCTGGGGACACTACTAGGTCACGCATGGCATCAGAAGTTTTATCTCTGGGCCCCGAAAGGCATCTCGCAGCGTCACTGATTGATTGATGGAACGTCAAGGAAGAATTCTTAAGAGACAAGCCTCTCTCACAGCAACGAAAAGGAAGAAATCCTCCGACGCCCTGTGTGTCATCAGCCACTTATCATGGCCGGTCTACTCTGGGCTGACCCAGCCGGCGAGTACGCGCCGCTGGACCCCTCTTCACCCAACGCTCGACCGCGCCCAGAGCGAGCATCAAGCATCTGGCCGCTGCGTCTCGCCACCGTGGTCGCACTCACGCTCTGCAGCGCGACCTTTGCGCCAGCTGCAGCGGGCCGGATCCTGCTTGCCGTGAAGTTAATGCGGCAGTCGCCGCCGCCACCACCTCCAAATCCTCCTCCGCCTCCACCTCCTCCGCCGCCGCCGCCGCGCCTGCGCCCGCCGCCGCCGCCGCCGCCGCCGCCGCCGCCACCATCGCCGCGCCTGCGACCTCCGCAAATCGAGACTGCGCCCTTCGCTTTTGTCCTAAACGAGTCGCGGGCGTGGGTGGAGCAGCACGTCCCCTATTTCCACAGCTCTGACGAGGACCTCAACACCGCCTACTGGTACCGCTGGCGCCGCCTCCACCTCGCACGTCATCTCTCGGTTGCGCCCCACCTTCACTCTGTGACGCGCCGTCGACAGGCGCGTCTTCCACCTACACCTCGCTCGCGCGCCGAAGAGCCAGCGCACACCCGGCTGCGACCCAAAGGGCTGCCACGTCATCACCGAGTTCCTCAAGAAGGTGTCGTGACTTCCGAGACACTTCCGAGACACTTCCGAGACGATTCCGAGACGCCGCCAGGAAAGCTCCGCAAGAAGGAACGTGAGACTCCTCTTCGACTCGCTGCCTGGTTCACAGGTTCCGTGGAGCGGGCCCGCCAACACCATCGTCTGCCCGGCTGGACACCACTTTGCGGAGGCTCGCTGGGTCAAGGACGGCCGGTGCGCGGGCGACTGCGCGAATCATTAATCAATACGCGCAGCTCTTTATGAAGAATAATATATTGTTAGGTACGCGGGCGACTACGCGCGGAGAGGGCCTGTTCACAGCCAGGCGGTGTGAATAGACGCTGTTCCCAGGTACGCGGGCGACTACGCGCGCTTCTGGCTGCGCGGCGCCGGCTGGAGGAAGCAGTACACCTTTTGGCTGGCTCACCCCTGCAGGTAAGTCGCTCGTGACGACTGACGAAACCACAGAGTGTTCGGCCTCCGCCCCTCTAGGCCCGCCCACTCGGTGTGGAGGCACTCGCTGCTCGTCGATGCGCGGCCTGGTCCGCCCGGCTCGAGGCTAGAAAAAAAGAAAAAGACGCAATCAAGCGTGATGAGCTCGCCACCGTGACTCAGGGGCGGCCGGCTCGCTAGCGCACGAGCTGCTGCCCGCACTCGAGGCAAACTACCGCGACTGGGTGCGCACCCACTACCACACGGGCGCGCGCCGCACACTCCAGACCTGCGAGATCGCCCGAGCCCGAGGCTGGCCGAGCCTGCCCCCCCCCCCCCCACCCCCCCCCACCCCACCCCCCCAGGCGCGCGCTGCATGTTCCAGAGCTGCCACGCCGACGGGCAAGAGAACTCGGCGACGCTCGACGGCGTGCCGCCCCCACCGTCGACGCGGTCAGTAGCGATGGAGCCAGACGCGACCGAGAAATGAGGCGTAATGGTAGGTTGTCGCCCCACCATCAACGCTGTCATGTTCGCCGAAGCGACGGCCATCGCCGCCGCCGCCGCCGCCGCGGGCAACGCAACGCTGTCGGCGCAGTTTGAGGAGGAGGCCGCGAGGTGGAGGGGGGTGGTGCTGGAGCGGCTATGGTCGGAGGACCTCCCCTTGTCAAACACCCTCGCGCAACCGCCCCGCCCGAATCATAACGAGAATGGAATCGGAATAGGACCTCTCCTTCTTCACCACCCTCGCGCAGCCGCCGCCCAAATCGCTGCACGCCGAGATCACGTGGTACCGCAGGAAGGGGTCGCCGGCCGAGGGGGCAGCGGCTGTGAAGAGACGCCGTTCACGCACTTGGCCGTGGCGGCAGGAAAGACTCGCCGACCAAGGGCAACAGCCAGTCCGTGCAGACCTACTTCGGCTGCCTCGCCTGCCCGCGAGGAGCTGTGAACAGGAGAGGTGTGAGCAGAAGAGCTGTGAATAGGCTGCCTCGCCTGCCCGCGGGGACGCGCCTGCCCGCCGGAGCGAGGGTGGCCGGTCGGCAAAGCTCTGTCCCCTGCCCGCGAGCCGGAGGCCCCTTGTCGACTCACACCATTCACGACTACCCCAGGTCGGCAAGCTGGTCCCGGTCCGCGAGCTGTCGGCACTCACTTCGCCGTGGTACTTCGGCGCGGTCCCCGCCGCCCCAGCCGGCCGGTCGCGCAAGTTCGCCACCGCCTGGTCGCAGCTGCAGGACCCGAAGGGCCTCCTCCATCGCTAGCTGGTTGACCGTGTGATTCTTCCTCCTCCTCAGGGCGCAGCTGCACGACGCGAAGGGCTTCGCCTCCCCGTGGGGTCCGAGGACGACCGAGCGGCGCTCGCAATGCTACAACTTCTCCAACGCCGCACAGTGCAACTGGAACGGCCCCGTGTGGCCGTTTGAGGTGTCCAAGGCCGCCACCGCGCTCGCGGAGCTGCTGCAGACTCACCCGCCGCAGCCCCACGCCGGCATCGCCGCATGGGAGGCGCTGATGCTGACCTACGCACGCGCGCACACCCGCGCGCGTGCCGAGGGGAGGGCGCCTCCGCACGTGGACGAGGACTTGCACCCCGAGGACGGCTACTGGATCACGAGGCGCAAGCTGCATATCTCCCCATATCTCCCCATATCTCCCCCTATCTCCCGACGGCGGCTACTGAATCACGAGGCGCAAGCTGCATATCTCCCCATATCTCCCCATATCTCCCCCTATCTCCCGACGGCGGCTACTGAATCACGAGGCGCAAGCTGCATATCTCCCCATATCTCCCCATATCTCCCCCTATCTCCCGACGGCGGCTACTGGATCACGAGGCGCAAGCTGCACATCTCCCCATATCTCCCCATATCTCCCGACGACGGCTACTGGATCACGAGGCGCAAGCTGCACATCTCCCCATATCTCCGCATATCTCCCGACGACGGCTACTGGATCACGAGGCGCAAGCTGCACGGCGTGCGGCCTTGGGCGGGCGCGGGCGGGCTTGGAGCCTCCAACGGGCGCGACTGGCTCGCGAAGCGTGGCGACCGCTACTTCCGAGATGAGCCGAGATGAGCCGAGATGAGCCGAGATGGCCCGAGATGACCCGAGCGTGGCGACCGCCACTTCCACTCCTCCTTGGCCGACCGCTCTGGCTAGTGACTCCCGGCTGGTCGACTGGTGAGCAGGCGACCACTACTTCCACTCCTCCTTCACCGACCTCGTGCTCGGAGGCGTCGCGGGCCTCCGCGCAGGGGCCGAGTTCGTCGAGGTGCCTCCGCCCACGACGTCGCGCCACCGGGCAGCCACGGGGGGGGGGGGGCGAGTGGAGTCACCAACCATAAGCCTCTACGAATTCATTCGAGGTGCGTCCGCTCACGACGCTGCGCCACTGGGCCGTCACGGGCGCTCGTGTCAAGGGCTTCGCGCTCGACGTGGTACGCGAGAGCGCAGATGCTGCATCGCGATGCAAAACACGATGCACAACAGCCATCTCCCCCCCCTGTCTCTCAACGAGCGCTCGAGAAGGCACGCTGCTCTGCCACGGGGCTGACTCTCGGCTGGCTCCCGGCTGTGGCTTCGCTAGGTCTGGGACGCCGACGGCTCTCGGTACGGGCTCGGGGCGGGGCTCCACGTCTGGGCGGACCACGCACACCTCCTCTCCACGCCGCCGGTGACCGTCGACGCCGGCTCGCCGTCTGGGGGCGTGCGCGGCAGGGCGGCCGACATGCGGGCTGTGCCCGCGCGCGTGCGTGTGGGCCGCAGCGCCAGCGGCGGAGGGGCGACGGGGCAGCGCGCGGTGGTCTGTTCGGCGGCCATGCCGCCGGAGGAGGCGCCGTCGGGCGGCGGCCGCTGGTGGGTGTGCTGAGAGAGCGCGTACCGTCCGGCGGCAGCTGCCGTCGCTGGTGCCCGCGCAGGCCGCAGCGGCCAGCGCGCGTTCTTTTTTTTCTCAACTTAAATCATGGGTGCTTGCATAAAAATGAAGCATAAAGTGCAAATATTCTTGAGGTGAGAATGAAGCCGGCGCGGCGCTCGCGCCTCGCGGCCGGCATGCTCTGCTCTCCTAAATAAATAAATAAAACGGACACCTCTACTAGGAGATGGGTAAAAAGGAACAGGTCCCCGCCCTTGCGATCTTTGTGCAGGGTTCTTTGTGGGTGTGGTCGGCGACTAGCCGGGGTCGTCCTCCCGATGGGGGATCTGCTCTCCTGCTCGCCGACGTCTTCGACTTTCGTGTTTCTTCTCTCGAGACGCGCAAGGCCCAGCCCCAGGCTGAAAACACACGGATCGGCCAACGAGCAACGTGGTCCCAGCGGAAGCCTCTTGAAGTGGCGGTCTCCCACCCACTGCACGCTCCAGAGGAATGGGCTCCAATCCGTCTCGCACCTTTCGTTCATGCCTGTTGAGCGTGCATTCCCGCAACCTACAGCGCAGGGCGTTCAGCCTCCGTCACGCACCACCCCAACCCGCGCGCAGACGGGCGCGTAACACACCTCGTGACCAGCGAGAGCTAGTAACAACAGCCCCAGGGCGGCAAGCGTCCAAGCTGTAGGCGTCTCCCCGAACGCCAAGAAGACCCACAGCGGCGAAAAGGCTGCCTGCGGTGTTGAGGGTTTCTTAGAGCGTAGGGAGTGGGCAGGGGCTTGACTCGGCCTCAAACGCGGTTCTCGCACCTCGCCGAGCATAATCAGCTCAACCTATCAGGAGCGAGAGAAATCGGGGTGGCCGGCGCCGCGATGCTTTCGTCCTAGCAGCCCATACCTCAGCCCCCTTGAGGTGTCGTGCGGCGTGAAACATAGAGACATCGAACGCGGTGGTCCCAGCCTTGCTGAGGATGAGCCATCCCCAAAAGCCAAGCTGAAGCCCGCCTGTCAAGTCGATTTCGGGCCCATCGCGGCGGTGAAGGGAAGCGTAGAAGAGGGCGCAGCTGCCGAGGGATGCGAAGAATCCGGTTGTGGTTAGGTCGGTCTCGGGCCATCTTGTCCCGCAGTAGCGCGCCCATGATGTGAGCGTGGCCATCGCAAATCCCGTCATGAAGGGGATCAGCAACAGTACTCGCTCCGAGCCGTCTGCAGCCTCCCAGCCATGCTCGAAAAGCCTCAAGAGGTCCGGTACCATCGCGACGAGGACGGAAATCAGGGCGACAATCATGGTCACGACGGTTCGTTGGGGTAGGTCGTCGTCCAAGAGCAGCTTGCCCTGAATGGCAGCCCAGACAGGGGAGAGCGAGATGAAGAGGAATGCCTTGGCTGGGTCGAGAAGCATTAGCGAGTAGTAGAAGCCAGACTGGGTGCAGATGCCTAGCGCAGAGGCAACCGCCAGACCGCAAGCTGATGAAGCAAGGGTGGAGAATAGCTTCGATACTCCGCCAGCTGTCACGATACCAAAAACGAGTGTGAGAGCGGCAGACACGATGAAGCGCCAGAACCCAATGGTCTCATCGGTGCCACCGTATTGCTCCTGAAAGCGAAGTGCCATAGCATCTGGCGTCCCCAAGAGCATTCCTCCGACTCCAATGGCCAGCCCGAGGGGCCGATTCGGTGCTGCGTGAGGTTCGATGATGACTGAGGTGCGCCTGCACGCCCTCAAGCTCTTCCGAGCGCCAGCCGCGCCGTTCTCCTTTGTGAGGGTTTCCATGCCGCGGCAAATGGGCGACCGACTCGATATTCGTAGGGACTCGAGCACGTGCTGATGCGTTGTGGGAGATGCGTTGGTTCTGCGCGAGGGCACTCTGGGACGCAAGCACGCACGTCGCAGCCGCAAGGCAGAAACTCGTTGCGATCGATTGGGATCCGCTGCGGATCCTCCAATCCCAGGCGTTCCTGTACGTACGTTCTCTCTCTCTTCTCTCTCCCTGTCGCTCTGCCTATGTCGTTCTCCTTCCTTCGCTGCAAAACATAAGTTTGCTGATCTCATATCAAGTAGGCCCGGCCTTGCTCTCGATATGGCGGTAAACATTGGCCGTGGAGCTGGCTATTCGTGGGAAGTCACGACCAGCTGGGTGGTCTACAGGGGGTGAACCCGCGCGCCCCATCCTCGAGATGGCTCAATCGACATATGCAAAGCTCCAGCTAGAGTAATACTTATGCTCGCTTCCGAGCTCGCTCAAAGCCTCAACAGCTCACACGCCCACGGCCACGCGTCTATAGGGCCTTTTTAGGGGCTTAGAGAACACAACACCCCTCTCCCTATTCTCCCGACCGTGTTTTGTTGATCAAAAGGACCGAGACGACTCATAACACGTCAGAACTCATACCTTGGGCCTTCGCGCTCACCCTCCCTGCTCCTCGACCTTCTTGGGCAGCAGCTGGTTCGACAGGTCCTCGCCGTGGCCCAGACTGCCGGAGGCTCCACCGCCCCAGCTCCAGACAGCGCCGTCGGCGGTGAGGGCGAGGCTGTGGTAGACTCCCGCCGAGACAGCGACGATGTGATGGCCAGGAAAGCCCTCGACCTTCTTGGGCAGCGGCTGGTACTGCGTGTCGCCGTGGCCCAGCTTGCCTAAGCCTCCACCGCCCCAGCTCCAGACGGCCTCGTCGGCGGTGATGGCGAGGCTGTGGGCAATTCCAGCCGACACAGCGACGACGCGCTGGCCAGCCAAGGCCTCGACCTTCTCGGGCAGCGGCTGGCTCTACCGGTCGCCGTGGCCCAACTGGCCGAAGGCTCCACTGCCCCAGCTCCAGACGCTGCCGTCGGCAGTGATGGCGAGGCTGTGAGCCCCTCCAGCCGCCACGGTGATGACGCGCTGGTCAGTCAAGGCCTCGACCTTCTTGGGCAGCAGCTGGTCCTGCTCGTCGCCGTGGCCCAGCTTGCCTTCCCATCCCCAGCCCCAGCTCCAGACGGCGCCGTCGGCGGTGAGGGCGAGGCTGTGGCGGGATCCAGCAGACACGGCAACGACGGACCGCCCCGCCAAGAACTCGACCTTCGTTGGCAGCAGCTGCCGCTGCTCGTCGCCGTGGCCCAAGTTGCCAAAGTCTCCAACGCCCCAGCTCCAGACAGCCCCGTCGGCGGTGATGGCGAGGCTGTGGCCAACTCCAGCCGACAAAGCGACGACGCGCTGTCCAGCAAAGGCCTCGAGCTTCTTGGGCTGCCACTGCTCCTGCGCGTCACCGTGGCCCAGCTGGCCCCAGGCTCCATGGCCCCAGCTCCAGACAGCGCCGTCGGCGGTCAGGGCGAGGCTATGGCCGACACCAGCCGACACGCTCACGACACGCTCACCCAGCGATGGGAGGCGGGTCGGCTTGTTGAGCCGCGTCACGCCCTCGCCGTGACCGAGTAGCCCTGGAAAGCCTGCCTCACTGCCGCACAATGAGAGCCGCCCCTCGCCGTCAATGAAGACGCTGTGCTGCTTTCCTGCTGCCGCCCTCGCAGGCGGGTTGGACTCGCACAGCAGCGCCGAATAGCACAGCCACCGCACAGCGCAGCTCTCACTCTCTGGCTGCGCCGGCAGCTCGAAGCCGCGCTCTTGCGCCCACAAGCGGATGCCCTGCTCCGCGAGCGAGTGAAAGAGGAGCGAGACGGCCGCGGCGCGAGCGATGTCGGCGGGGTCGCAGCGAGAGAGGGCGCGCTCGAGGAGCTCCCTGGGGAGGTCGAGGAGGCGGGCGGGCGGCGGCGTGCGTGGCGAGGGAGCGGCGGTGGCGGCGGAGGCGAGGCGGCGCGAGCGGCGGCGCGGCGGGGTGGACATCGCGAGAAAAGAAAAACGCCTGCCCCTACATTGCTGAGGACCTACCCAGTAGGAGGCCCGCGCCTGCCCCCGTGGCCGGGTGCAACCTGTCCTATACGAGAGGGGAATCCCTGGGACCCTGTCGTGTGGGTGAACCCTGCCCAGCCCCCCTCCGTGTCGCGATGCGCTCCCACCCGCTCCCGTTCCCCTGTGAGAGAGAGATGAGCTAGATTGGACGGACGGAAAACACCCCCCCTTTTTTGCCTGACCCTGGGCATGCCTCTCTGGGGGTGAGCTGGGCCGGCCGCCTCCGGGTCCGCAACTCGCACGGTGGGCTCGCGTCCGGGCGAGCATCCGAGGCCCGTGGTTGTCCTCTCGCTGGGCGCGACCGACATGGAGAGCCACTGCACACAGATCTGTGCTTTTGGCGCCTATTGCTCGCTCTCTGTGCAATCACAATGCCAGAGGCCGTGCTTGGAGAATGTGTCGCGGTGCTGCGGCGTCAGTGGATTGAACCGCGACGCAGGCTCCATCGGTGCGCTGCGGCGGCGCACCGGCCGCTCCATGCATGCTCTCCGGCGAGCCGTCGCAAACGCGCTTTTCCGTCCGTTTCATCGAGTTTGCCCGAGTGGTAAAATGCAATCGAATCTGCCCGAGTGGTCAAGTAAAACTTTGCCTTTCGTAAAAGTTGCCCGAGTGGTCGAGTGGTCAAGTAAAGCTTTGCCTCTCGTAAAAGTTGCCCGAGTGGTCTGTGGGGAAAAAACCAAAATCGAGACGGACTTCATGAACGGCCGGGCAATATGTCTTCCTTACTATTGTTAATTGATGCTTTTTGCACGGCTGAGCCCCCCCCCCCCTCCTTTCCTCCTCTCCCCTCCGTCCCAGCTCCACTCATCCCTCTCTCGCCCTCTCCTGCAGGTGCAGGGAAGATACGAAACGAAAATTGGTGGGCCTGCCCACCCCGGAGTGGTTCGACTCCACACAAACCCGAGACGGTGATGGGAGGCGTCGTACGATGATCTCAGGCCCAGTGAGGTAGTGCATCTGACTACCCCGGATCCTGCTGAACAAGCTCCTCTTGTAGCTCGATCGGTCACACCGCCATCGCCGTCGGGGAGAGGGGGGACGACACTGCTTCGGCGGCGTGCACCTCGATCCTGTACCGTGTTTGTTATGACCCCCCCCAATGAACACACCAGTGAGGGAGGGCGAGACGATCGAGGGGTCCCGTACCACGCGGAATCGGCCCTATCCAGTGCTCAAGTGCTCAAGAGAGAGATTTGTTTTGTTCCCCTGTGTCCCTGATCGTCCTTACAAGATCCTGCTCGTGCAGGTGGGGACCCTGTCCTTCTCCCACCCTCGTTTGGCGTGCCCGTTTTATTTATTTATTTATGGACCTAAGAGTACGAACAGGTTGGAGGCACGTGTTATGCAACGCGCATAAAAAGAAACGCGTCTGGACACATCTGCTTGCTTTCGCGGCGGCTCTTTGTAGCCCAACCCGGTGGCAAGAATCCTCGGAAGCGACCAGAGGAGGAGAACCCAAACCACATCAAAAAAGAAACGCAGCGCCGTGACATCTGCTTGCTTTCGCAGCGACTCTCTGCTGACCAAAGACAAGGTAGGGCGGCGTCTCTCTCCTGACCAACCCCAAGGTGCAGGACGGCTCATGGCGATGGAAATGGACCCCGAGGCCGGCGTTCGCCCGCTCGAACGCACCAGCAGCACGATCGCGAGTGCCACCAGCGTCGAGTGGTCCAGCCTCAGCGTGACGGTAAAGGGCAAGACCGTGCTCCAGCCGACAGACGGCATGCTCAGCTCGGGCGACATGCTCGCCGTGATGGGACCCTCGGGTTGTGGCAAGACTACTCTGCTCGATGCGGTGTCTGGCCGGACCAGATCGCACAAGCTCAGCGGCACCGTCTCCTTCAACGGCCACACGCAAGTCTCGTTCGCACAGCGCAGCCGCGTGCTCTCTTACGTTGGTCAAGAGGACTCGCTCCTCGGCGTATTCACCGTTGCAGAGTCGCTGCGATTCGCCGTCCGCTTCTACCACGGCGCGCTCCCAGCTCAAATGCCGCGTCCCTGTCGCCACGCTCATCCAGAGCTCACCACCACCCCCATTGCGCAGGCTACGGCGCCAGCGCCGAGGAGACGCGCGCACTCGAGGAGGAGACGCTGAGGCTCGTCGGCCTCGAGTCGTGCCGCGACACCATCGTCGGCGACATCTTCCGCAAGGGACTGAGCGGGGGGCAGCGGCGCCGTGGCTCGCTGGTGGAGCTGGTCATGTCCAGGACACGTCCACGACACTTCCGAGACGTCCCACAGGCGCCGCCTCTCGCTGGCGGTGGAGCTGGTCAAGCGGCCCGCCATCCTCCTCCTCGACGAGCCCACGTCAGGCCTCGACTCGGCCTCCGCCTTTGGCGTGATGCAGCGGCTCAAGGCGATGGCGCGCGCCGGGCACGCCATTGCGCTCACCATCCACCAGCCGAGCAGCGAGCTCTGGGCCCTCTTTGACAACGTCCTGCTGCTCTCGGGCGGCCACACCGCCCTTCGGCGGCGAGGAGAGACCGCCAATCAATGACGGAGCGGCTTGAATTGTGTGATTAGGCGGCCACGCTCTGTGGCAAGGCATCTTCACACGGAGACTCGCGGGGAGCCTTCTCGGAACCTTCCCGCAGGCGGCCACACCGTCTTCTACGGCAAGGCCGCCGAGATCCCCTCCTACCTTGCCGCTCACGGCCACGCGTGTCCGCCGATGTACAACCCGGCCGACTTCATGCTCCAGCTGGTCAACTCGGACTTCCCCGTGAACTTCAGACTGTGAAGAGCGTCTCTTCACACCTCGAGCTGTGAACAGGTCAACTCGGACTTCCCCGAGCGCTACGACGCGGCGCTCGTGCTCAAGTACGGCGACAGCGCAGAGCGCGCCACGGTCGTCGCGAAGGTCGCCGAGGCGATGGCAAGCAGCAAGACTGTGAACAGCGCCTCTTCACACCTCAAGCTGTGAATAGGTCGCCGAGGCGATGGCAGGCAGCAAGAAGGCGCCGGCCGGCAGCTCGAAGGTGCCCTCGCTCAGCTCCTTCGTGGCGTCATTAGCGGTCATGACTCGTCAAGTGAGTGCTAACAGGTGTCCCCGCTCAGCTCCTTCTTGACGCTCTGCCACCGCTTCAGCCTCAACAACGCCAAGAATCCGGGCACTGCCGGGCGCGACTCGTCGTCACTCATCGACTTTCCGTTCACTCGTACTGATTTCGTGCAATAGGCATCTACTGGGTGCGGCTCGTCATGTACGTCATGCTCTGCTTGATGATCGGCCTGATGTACATCGGCCTCGGCGACGAGCACGACTGCGCGCCGTCTCAACTCGAGATGACTCGAGACGACCCGAGACGACCCCGAGATTAGGCGACGAGTACGACTACTCGTCCATCAACTCGCGCACCTCGATGCTCTTCTACATCGCCGCCTTTCTCGTCTTCATGTCGGTCGCCGTCCTCCCCTTCTTCATGATGGAGCGCTCCTCGTTCCTTCGCGAGCGATCCAACGGCGCCTACGGCGTCGTCTCTTGGGTCTCGGCCAACTTCCTCTGCTCGCTGCCCGGCCTCGCCCTCATCTCGATCCTGTCGACGGCGTGCGTGGTGCCGCTGGCCGGCTTGAACGGCTTCGGCACCTTCTTCGCCGCGCTCTTCTGCTCGCTCGTCGCCGCCGAGGGGTTCATGTGCCTCGTTGGCGCGCGGCTTCTGTTTGCCTGCTCTGTTGACGCCGGGCGGTGCTGCCTGTTACCTCGGCACCAACACACATAGGCGCGCTGGTGCCGCATTACATCATCGGCATCGCTCTCGGCGCGGGCGTCTATGGCTTCTTCATGCTGTGCGAGGGCGCCTTCAAGGTCACGTCGCTTGTGCTAGTCGCTCGGGCGTGTGTGTGTGTGGGGGGGGGCGATCTTTGGAACTGGGGTTGCTATCGACTCCTGCTAGGTCAAGGACGACATCCCGCCCTGGTTCATTTGGGTGTACCACATCGGCTTCCACTCGTACTCGTACCGCGTCTTCATGTACAACGAGTTCGAGCCGATCAAGGAGTTCGACGACAGCGCGCCCTTTGCCTCCGGGCACGAGCTGCTCAAGTTCTACTCCTTCGACAAGGTGGACGTCGGTCGCGACCTCGGCGCCCTCATTGGCTTTGGCCTCTTCTTCCAAGCCTGCTTCGCCCTGGTGCTTCACTTCTTCCACACCGGCCGCCGGTAAGCCGGTTGATCAAGGTTGCACCGAAGAGCTCACGCTCGCGCAGAGAGAGCGCGAGATTGTACATCGGCGTTCGGCTCTCGGCCAGCATATCTCTCGCCTCGGGCTGCCGGGCTGGATTCTTGGCAGGGGCTGCACCGAGCGGGTGTCTATTATAAATTTCTATTTGCAGCCCCGCAAAGCCAGCGACGTACCGCCTGATACCCATTTCTCGCGCGTACGCGTTTTTTATCCGCCATACGATGTCTAGCCTAGCGCGTAATTTACTTTTCCTCGCGCCAGTCCCGTGCCTAGCGTCGTGCGAGAAATTGCTGAATTGTTTTTCGGTGGGTTCGGGAAGGGGGTTGGTTGGCGAGATCCTCTGGATGGCGGCGAACGTGCTGCAGAACAAGCTGACGCGGGCCCAGCACCTCGATGAGGTGACTTGGCCACCAAGCGCTGGCTGGGGCTGCAGAAGCAGCGTATCTCAGTCGTTCTTCACACGGCAATCGCAGAGCAGATTGTGAATGAGCTTGCCTGTGGCGGGGGCGGTCGAGTGCACGGAGCTAAGTGCCTCGCCGTCCTCGCAGGAGTCGTTTAGGCGGCTCCCGTGGTGTACCTGTGTTAGTGCCAGTGCGCGCCAGTCCCGTGCCCAGTGTCGTGCGAGAGAGGCTTGAAAATTCTTTTCTTCGCGATGTCCACCCCGCCGCGCCGCCGCTCGCGCACCCTCGCCTCCGCCGCCGCCGCCGCTCCCTCGCCAGACGCGCCGCCGCCCGCCCGCCTCCTCGACCTCCCCAGGGAGCTCCTCGAGCGCGCCCTCTCTCGCTGCGACAGCCCCGTCGACATCGCTCGCGCCGCGGCCGTCTCGCTGCTCTTTCACTCGCTCGCGCGGAGCAGGGCATCCGCTTGTGGGCGCAAGAGCGCGGCTTCGAGCTGCCAGCGCAGCCAGAGGACGAGAGCTGCGCCGTGCGGTGGCTGTGCTATTCTGCGCTGCTGCGCGAGTCCAACCTGCCGGCGAGGGCAGCGGCCGACAGCACAGCGTCTTCATTGACGGCGAGGGGCGGCTCTCGTCGTGCGGCTCTGCGCCGTGGTTCAGCCCAGGGCTACTCGGCCACGGCGAGGGCGTGACGGGGCTCAACACACCGACCCGCCTCTCCTCTACGCTGGGCGACGAGCGTGCCGTGAGCGTGTCGGCTGGAGACTGCCACAACCTCGCAATCACCGCCGACGGCGCCGTCTGGAGCTGGGGCGGTGGAGGTGGGGGACAGTTGGGCCACGGCGACGGGGGGATCCAGCTGCAGCCGAAGAAGATGGAGGCCTTGGCGGGCCGGCGCGTCGTCGCTGTGTCGGCTGGACTCCACCACAGCCTCGCCCTCACCAGCAGCGGCGCCGTCTGGAGCTGGGGCTATGGAGGTGATGGCCGATTGGGCCACGGCGACGCGCAGGACCAGCTGCTGCCAAAGAAGGTTGAGGCCTTCGCCGGGCAGCGTGTCGTCGCTGTGTCGGCTGGAGCGTACCACAGCCTCGCCCTCGCCGCCGACGGCAGCGTCTGGAGTTGGGGCGATGGATACTTTGGCCGGCTGGGCCACGGCGACGGGCAGTCCCAGCTGCTGCCGAAGAAGGTCGAGGCGTTGGGGGGGCAGCGCGTCGTCGCCGTGTTGGCTGGAGGATTCCACAGCCTCGCCGTCGCCGCCGACGGCGCCGTCTGGAGCTGGGGCTTGGGAGGCGACGGCCGGTTGGGCCACGGCGACGGGCAGAACCAGCTGCTGCCGAAGAAGGTCGAGGCCTTGGCTGGGCGGCGCGTCATCGCTGTGTCTGCTGGAGCCGGCCACAACCTCGCCCTCACCGCCGACGGCACCGTCCTGAGCTGGGGCAATGGAGCCTATGGCAAGCTGGGCCACGGCGACGCGCAGGAGCAACCGCTGCCCAAGAAGATCGAGGCCTTCGCTGGTCAGTGCGTCGTCGCTGTCTCGGCTGAGGCCATGCACAGCCTCGCCGTCACCGCCAGCGGCGCCGTCCTTTCGTGGGGTCAGGGCGCCCACGGCTGCCTAGGCCATGGGGAGGACCTGTCGAACCAGTTGGTGCCCAAGAAGGTCGAGGAGTGGGCGCCGGGGCAGTGATGAGAAGGGCGAAAAGGGTGCAAGCCTCTGTGTTACCGCGCGTGCCTGTTCGCCACACTGGCGCGCTAACAAAAAGAATTACGTGCCCCCCCACGCTCCACGCTCCACCACAGCGAGCCAGCTGGCTCGCTCCCGCTGCTCGCGCCACTTGCGCCCACACCACCCCAGCCTCGCAGCGGCCTCTGGCTCCTCCAGCCTCTCCCAGCGTCATGTCCAAGGACCGGCGCGGCGGCAATAAGAACCGGACCGGCGGCCCGAAGAAGGCAAAGAAGCGGGCCGGCAAGAGCATGCGCGTGGAGAAGGCGCGTGACAAGAGCCGGAAGCGCGTCGCCGCGCTCAAGGCGCAGCAGCCGACCCGCTCCGCCTTTGAGCGCGAGGAGGTGGAGACCGACCAGCCGCGCGAGGCGACCGTCGGGACCGCAGTCGTCCTCGCGCACGGCGCGGGCGGCTCGTCCTCTCACGCGTCGATGCGAGCCTGGCGGGAGCGGCTCGCACCGTGGTGCGACGCGGTCCTCGCCTTCGACTTCCCGCGGCCGTCGACCGACTTTGCCCGCCTCGTCGAGGCGTACGCCGCCGAGGCGGCCGCCGCCGTCGCCGCAGGCCACCAGCGCGTTGTGCTTGTTGGAGCTGGGCTGGGGGCGCGGGTGGCGCTTCACTTGGTGACCGGGCTGCTGGCGGAAGGAGAGACGGGCGCAGGCGGGGAGGGGCGCGCGGGCGCGGAGCCGCGGCAACTGCCTTGTCCCTCGGACGCTGCTGCAGACGCCGCTGCAGACGCCGCAGACGCCGCTGCAGACGCCGCTGCAGACGCCGCTGCAGACGCTGCTGCAGACGTGTTGCCTCCGCACGTTCGGCGGGCGATCTGCGGCGTTGTGGCGCTCGGCTACCCGCTGCTGCGGCGGGCGGCGGGCGGCGGGGCATACGAGGTCCGCGAACCCGCCCGATTGATTCGTGACTAGGAATGGAACACACACCTCGATCACGAACTGCGTTGTAGCAGGTCCGCGACGCTCCGATCCGCGCGCTGGGCGGCAAGTCGCCCCCTCTCCTGCTCGTATGCGGCAGCTCGGACGTCCCGCACCCGCGGCCCTGCTTGAAGGACCGAGGGGCGTCAGGCCGTGCTCCCGCGGAGCCGTAGGCGACGCGGACCCGCACTGCGACCTCGGTGCGGTGCGGGCGGCGAGCGAGGCGGCGGTTGCGCGCGGGGGCGAGGTGGCCGTGCACGTGGTGCGCGGCGGCGATGCGAAGCTGGCCTCAAAGCTCGCGACGCCCGCGTCCGAGGAGGCGCTCGACGAGGCGATCGCGGCGGCCGTGCGGGGGGCGGACGTGGGAAGGGGGGGCGGCGGCTCGTGAATTCATTGTGCTGGAGAAGCGTTGTGACCGTCCGTCGGGTGTCCCGGTAAACCCACCTACCCAGATAATAAGAGCACCAGATCTCACGGGTTGGCCGTTGCACACACAAGTCCCCGACAATGTGTGCGTGATAAAAAAACGATAAACGTCCGCCACTTGCGGCCGCGCGAGGAGGGCGGCGACCTCGACCGACTATGGAGGACCCGTCGCCAGACGACGCAGGGCAGAAGACGGTGAGGCGGAGCAGACGCGCAGGGCGAGACGAGGGAGGGAGCAGGACTTTGCGGAGATCAGCAGGAGGATGTACGAAGAGATTAGGAGCAGCAGGGACCCGAGGGACCATGTGGAAGACGGCTAGTGCTAGTCCCCCATCGGGAGGACGACCCCGGCTAGTCGCCGACCACACCCACAAAGAACCCTGCACAAAGATCGCAAGGGCGGGGGCCTGTTCCTTTTTACCCATCTCACAGTAGAGAGGTGTCCGTTTTTATTTATTTATTTGCCGCGCCTTGCTTCGGCACCACCGCGAGCGGGACGCGCCACGCGCGAGACCAGTCTTGAGCAGTGTCAGTGAGGTCACCGCTGGCAGTCACACCAGTCCCCCCCCCCCCCCAACACACACACACACACACTTCTCACAGTTGCCGCTCTACTCATCAACATCATGGTCGCTCCACTCTTCGCTCATCCGCGTCGGGAGGCAGACCCGCTCTCGCAAGCTCAGCACGGATCTCGTCGACGCCTGCGTCGTGGGAGAGCTGGTACCATTCTGCCGACACGAAATGCACGTCCCCGCCGTTGAAACCAGCTTGTATAAACGTCTCACGCGCCTCTGCTTTGCTTGTCTCCACGAGGGTAGGCAGGTGCTGGCCACGGTGATCCCGTCTGAGCCGCTGGATCTGCTCGTCGAGCTTGGTGATGACGATTATTGGCTGGTGGCCGCTATCTTTGATTCGCTGCAACGCCTTCTGCAGCTCCGCGAGGCTGAGTGTCTCGAAGGTGGCGACGACGATGGGCACATCGCACTTGCGCAGGTGGCGCTCCGCAATGTCTCGTCGACTCTCATCGGCCCCGAGCCCAGGAGCGTCGATGATGTTGTACGGCTGGCGCTGCACACGCAGCGCTCCGTCGTCATCCTCGCCGGCATCGACCTTGACCGAGATGTGATCAACAACGCTGGCGAGGGGTTTGACGCTCTTGGCGGGGAGACCGCCGCCATCTGCGCGAGTCCACGCGCTGACCTCCTCCTCTGAAAGTGGCAGCGTCGGAGGCGACTCCTGCTCGCTCCCTTCCGGCCAAAGCGTGCAGCCAGCGGCGACGTATTCCCTGGCGAAGGCGATGGTCTTCTCGTCGAGGAAGTCGCGTGCCTTCTCCGGGAGCAAGTCGCGCAGCGTCGAGTCCGATTCAGCGACGGCGCTCCAGTGGAAATGCACGTCTGCGCCCTTGGTGCCGCCGCCGACGTCGATTTTGATAAGGTGCGCAGTGCACTCCTTCGAGGAGATGGGCAGCATGTGCTCCAGCGACGGGTAGCCCGTCTTCAGCAGGCTGCTCTTGCCAGCGTTATACACACCGTAGACCATGAGCTCAAACCTCTCGTTCACCAGCGCGCGCTCCCGGCTGCGAAGCTCGCTCAGAACGCGGGCGGGTTCTGAGTCCACCGCGTCGGCCGAGCAGCAGTGCTCAATCGCCACCTCGGCCACCGACATTGCGCCACGAACGAGTCGCAGGAGGCAGTCATGTTCGTGGCTCTTCGCCGATCGAGCGTCAAGCACCTCGATGCGGTCGGCGGCGCGCTGCATGCTGTGCAGAAGTAAGAGCTGCCACGGATGGCCGTTGCGAAGCAGCCGGCTTTGGGCCGCGTGCTCCCAGACCCAGCGCGCCGCCTTGATGAGCTTCGCGGCATCCTCCGTGACGAGCTCGCACGCGCCAACAAGGAGGGCGGCGGCAGCGTCACAGAGCCAGTCGCCAGAGCGTATGGGCTCAGGCAGGGCGGCTGGTCCAGAGCATGTTAGCAGGTCACGCACTACCATCCTCGATCGCCGTGCAAAGCTCGCTTCCGAGCTCTCACGCCGCGCGTAGGGCCCTTAGGGGCCTAGAGAACACCCCCCTCTCTCTTTTCTCCCAGTAAGCTAAAAGTACTACTTACTAGACAAGAAGCCCTTCCGTGGTAGAAAGAAGAAAAAGACAAAAAAGAAAAGCTCGCTGCCCCCATCCGCTGCCCCCATCTCGCTGCCTGTTCAAACGCAGAGACTCTGCTGCAGACTGAGAGCTGACTCCTCCGCCGAGAGCCCGTCGAGCGGCGACAGCGACACGGAGGCGTCGCGCTCCAGTGCGAGGGCAGCGCGCGCCACGAGCGGGCCGAGCGCCGGCCCGAGCGCCTCCGGGACGAGGCCGCCGCGCGCCGCCGCGGGGCCGTCGCGGGCCGTGAGCCTCCCGCCCTCCGCACGCGAGGTTGCGGCGATGGCGGAGGCGGCTTGGTCGTAGACAGACGTGAAGTGGGCCGGGGAGGCCGCGGGGGCGGCGGCCGGGTTGGTAGCTGGGGCGGCCGCGGTGGCGGCGGGGATGGCGGCCGGAGCCGGCAGCACCGTCGGCTCTAAAGCGGAGCACATGGCAGACTGCAGCTGCGCGTCCGTCCCTTGCGCCGCGGGCGTACCGCCGGCATCGGCGCCGCCTGCCGTGGCTGCGGCGCCGCCGTCTCGGAGGAGCAGGTTGGACCAGCGTTGCTGCATGTTGGAGCGCGCCTGGTGGGAAGGGAAGGGAAGGTCAGCTTCTCCACACGCAGAGAGTGGTGGGTCAAGGGCCGGGTAACCCTCTCGCATCTCCACACCCGGACAGGCAAGGAGCCCGGTGGGTGGCAGTTGGGGGGTGATATGCAGCTGGAGGGCGGGGGGGTGAGGGGGGCTTGCCGCGGAGAGTGGAGGAAACTACGGGCGACGGCGGCGGTGGCGGCGGGGGTGGAGGGCTGCTAGGATGGGCTGGCGCCACCTCCTCCGCAAACTGGACGATCGCGAGCGGCAGCTCTTGCGTGTCGTGCGACGAGGGCAGGTCGGAGGGCCCCGTCCTGCAGTGTGCTCGGAGCACACCGACGTTAGGGCGGGAGTGCGGTCTCGCGGAGTGTGCTCGGAGCACCGCGTGAGTACACGGGCTGTGAGCACAGCGTACACGCCGGAATACGGCGGATAACGGCGGAGTACGGTGTGCGTGACCTCTCGAGTGCGCTAGTCGGGATGCAAAGACAATCTGCAGCATCTAGGGACAGACTGGGCACGGGACTGGCGCGCACTGGCACCGACAGCTTCTAGGATCTCCGACCACGGCCATGCCATCGCCGCCGGCCGAGGAAGAGGACTGGCCGGCCGATGCGGGAGCGGGCGAAGCTGAGCTGCGCGAGGAAGCGGAGGAGGAGGAGGAGGGTCGAGGCAGGCGGGGAGAGGGGCGGGGGGGGGAGAGGGGGGGGGGGGGCGAGGGCACGGGCCAAGGGCCCAGGGGGCGCGAGCAGCTGCGAAGCAAAAAGGGGGGGGCGGGGGCGGGAGGGGGGTCGGGCGGTACCTGCACCTGTCCCCGTCCAGGCCGCGGGCCGTGCCGCATGTGCGAGGGGCGCCGCCGACGCGCCCAGCACATGCGACGCGAGCAGCCGCCGCGAAGGCCGCGCCTTGTGCGGGAGGGGCCGCAAGGGTGCGCGGGCAGAGCAGCAGCCGTTGGGAGGGGCCGCAAGTGAACAGGGTTGGAAGGGTCGAGCGTCATGTCGGAGTGCGGGCTCGTGAGATGCCTGCTCTCCGTCGTGCGTGGCCGCTGCGGCGAGCAGGGCGGGCCAAGGTATGGCCGGCGAGGTCGGGATGAGCGTGCCTCGCACCTTGGGCGTGGATAGGGGTCAGATCTTTGGATTGAGGTTGCTGCTACTCCTTCTATCGCACCTTGAAGTGGACCGATTGGCAGCCGGCGGGGAGCGGGAGCCGCGAGAGGCCGGGCAGGCACTGCGGCGTCCGCTCGCGCAGGATCACGAGCGGCGGCCCGTCGCATCCCATCGTTTGGTTGACGATGCGGTGTGCCGGCCAGGCGGAGGAGGAGAAGAGGCCGCCGTCCGAGACATTCCACGCTCCGCCACTCTGCCGGTTCTTCTGGCTGGCCGCCTCCGCAGTGACGGCCGCCCAGATGCGGTCCGCAGGGATCGAGAGGCCGCGGTTTCGGCAGGCGGCGCAGAAGTGCTCTCGAAAGGCACCGCTCTGCGGCTCTACCGGCTCGCAGGCGCTGCCGGAGAACTCGTGGCCCCAGCACTGCTTCGAGGGGCGCTGTCGCTTGCGGGAGACTGCCTCGGCGCCAGCTCCCATTTCATGCGAGGCGGGAGGGACGCCGCCAGCCCCCGTGTCGTGCAAGGCGGGAGGGCCACCGCCAGCGCCCATTTCGTCCGGCCTCCCCATCAAGTGTGGACCAGTTGGTCTGTAAGGCAGCCCACGTGAGGGAAACTGCACCCCTCTGGGACGTACCTGGGACGTACGGACACCCGACGCCAAAAGCGGCGGTTCTGTTTTTCTTTTGAGCTTAGCCTTCGATGTTATGAAAACAAACGCAAGAGACATCCCGCACACCCGCCGCCCCCGCGCGCGCCCCACCCCTGACAGTTTGGGACGGCAACAGAACGAGTATGTTGAGTCCTGGCTCAACAACGCAGAGAGAAATGAAAGCCGTCCGGCTCACAAGTCCGGCTCACGCGCCCCGACTGACCGATCTACCGCACTGATCACTTCTGCCCCCTCGCTCCCAACCCATCCACCTCGCCTCGGGCCGCGCCGCGCAATCTCGGGCGATCTCGCGCTATCTCGGGCGATCTCGGGGCCGCGCCGCGCTATCTCGGGCGATCTCGGAGCACGCACACACACACACACACACACACACACACACACACACACACACACACACACGCCGCCGCCGCGCGAGCGCCGCGCAGCGGCACACCTGCTCAAAAAGCGGACTGGTCGGCAGGTTTAGGGAAGGAGGCGACGCAGCAGGCGTCCTCCCCCCCGGGGCAGGCGCGCGGCTCGCGCGCCGCCCCACCCACGCCGGCCCGCGAGGGCCGGTCGTCCATCGCCATGTCCCGGGACGTCCAGCGTGGACATGTCCCGGGGGAAGCTGTGACTAAGGGCACCCCGTTCCTCCTATCCCCGCACTCCCTCAGAAGAGGGCTTCCCGCACCTTTTGCCGCCGCGCGCTATCGCCGCGCCGGGTGGCTCCGGGTTCGAATCGCGGCCTTCGCGGAGCGAACGCGGCGACCTTGGCGCGCCTCGCGCACGTGCGCGCCCGCGACAAGACGAGACGAGACGAGAAGAGAAGGAGAAGGATGTTGATGTTTTGCCGCAGCGGCCGCGCCGCGAGCTCGCCTCCGTTTTGGCGCCGACGCAGCGCCGCGCCCCGCCGCGCGAGATGGCGCCGCCGCGGGGTCGGCGCCGCGATCAGCCGCGCGCCAGCAGCGGGCGGTGCAGCGCGGCCGCCATGCGGTGCGACGTGCCCGCCGATGTTTTCTTTTTCATATAAAGCCGTTTCCCCGGGCCAGTCCAGCACGGGGGAGTTGGACTTGTGCGCCGGACCACCCACGGTCCTTTCTCTGCGTTCTTGCACATGGAGCGCTGGAGTGCAAGATACCTTGCCGCCGTCCCAAACTGTCGCTTTCTCCCGGGCGGGGGCGGGGGCGACGGGTGTGCGGTGACGTCTAATGGTCCTTCCCGTGTGTGTGCCAGTCCGCGCCAGTCCGCGCCCTTGTCGTGCCAGTGTGCTGTGAGAGAGGCTTGTTCTTCCCGGAAGTCTTAATTTCTCGGGATTGCTGAAGCCGTTTGGAACCAGACTAGATTTGAGAGCAGCACAATTGAATTCAATCTAGCAGTTCATCCCGAAAAAAGAAAACCCGCCGTTCATCGGTCAGAAGCAGGCCATCGGTCAGAGAGAGGAGATAATGAGCGCCCACACCCTGTCGAGCCTTCCGCCGGGTTGGAGCTTCGAGCTGCGGCAACGACAGGGCCTGACTCGAGCGTACAATGTTTTCCACGGCCCGGACGGGCATATCGCCAAATCCGTTCCAGAGGCGTGGCGCAAGCACCGTGGCGAATCGGAGGCCGTGTTCCGAGAGAGCAGCCTCGCGCCGGCGCCGGAGAGTGCGGGAGCGTTCGGGCGAGCCCTCTGCCCGACGGTTCCGTGGCGGTACGAGCCGCCGGATAGCACCTTCTGCCAGCGAGCTTTTGCAGACGAGTGTGCGAAAGCAGCCGCTAAGGCAGCAGCTGCCGCTGCCGCGGCGCCCTCGGCGGCGGCGGCCGACGCGGCGGCGGCGCTGGCAGCGAATGTGGCGCGAGCCGCAAAAGAGGTGGCGGCGGACACGGCGGCAAGTGCGGAGGACGCGGCGGCGGCGGCGAAGGCCGAGACCGCGGCGGCGGCCGAGGCGGCGGCCAAGGCGGCCAAGGCGGCAGCAGCTCATCAGACCGAGGAGGCGGCCGGCGAGGATGCCGAGGCGCCCGTGCGGCACCAGGCTTCGTTTTGGTCCGCGGAGGAGATTTGTTCAAGTTCTACTTCTCCACTCATCTACCGCTGCTGCAGCACTTCACACTCATCTACCGCCGCTGCACCACTTCACACTCATCTACCGCTGCAGCACTGCTTCTCCACTCATCTACCGCTGCAGCACTACCACATCACTGGAGCCCTGCCCACCAGGAAGGTGGCCCCTAGTCAGCCACCTGTCCCCAGATCTGTCCCCAGATCTGACCTCGTCCCCCACGCCCAAGGTCCGCGGAGGAGGATGCCGCTTTGCTGGAGCTCGCCGACTTCGGAGTAGGCGAGCTGTGCGCAGCGTCTCTTCACACCTCCAGCTGTGAACAGGAGCTCGCCCGCGCGAGCGGCGCCGCAGGCCCGGCGGCGGCAGGAGACCGCGAGAGCAGGTGTGTGCGGGCGGGCGGCGAGAGTGAGCCTCGACGAGACGCGGTCAAGGCAACGCATCTATCTGATCGTGATGCACTCGTCCTCCTCAGGCGGGCGGCCGGCCGCGAGTCAGAGCGCGCTCCCCTGCCTCAGCAGCCGACGGGTGAGTTGACCGGCGGAGGGACGAGTGATCAGGCTGGGCGGCGGTCGCGAGTCTGCGAGCCCCGAGTGAGTTGCCGTCGAGTGCAGTGCGCCCTTTCCTTCTTCACCAGGTGGGCGTGCAGCCCTCTCAGTCACTCTGCATCGCTTGTTCCTGCCCATCGTAGAATGGAAGTAGGTAGTAGCCCGTCGCTGCCCCTCACACAGTCCCTTCTCCACCAGGTGGGCTGCTCCTCCCCCCCTATCTCCCAATGTCTCCACCCATATCTCCCCATGTCTCCACCCATATCTCCCCATGTCTCCACCCATATCTCCCCATGTCTCCACCCATATCTCCCCCACATCTCTCCCCGGAACCATATACCTTCTTCGCCAGGTGGGCGGCGGTCGCGAGCCAGCTGCGCGGGCGGTCGGAGCACTCCGTGCGCAACCGCTTCCATCGGCTGCAGCGGCGCAAGGCGAGGGCCGGTGCGAGGGGGCGGCCGGAGGAGGAGGGGGAGGCGCGCGCAGAGGGCGGCGGCGGCGCGGCGGCGGGGCGTTGCGTCGAGACGGCGCGGGTTGTGGTCGCACTGATCTGGGACGGCGAGGGTCTAGCCGAGATCTAGCCGAGATGCAGCCGAGATCTAGCCGAGATGCAGCCGAGGTCTAGCCGAGGTGCGCCGAGGTGCAGCCGAGATCCACCCGAAGGTGCAGCCGCGGTTCTCAGCGTGCCGCCGGGGGGGGGCGCACACTCCCCCGATCACTCTCCCCAGATCACTCTCCCCCGATCACACTCCCCAGATCACTCTCCCCAGATCACTCTCCCCCGCGCGTAGGTGCGCACGTGCGACCTCCCCCAGATCATACCTCCCCCATACCTCCCCCACAGATCATACCTCCCTCCCCCAATATCTCTCCCATCTCTCCCCGTCCCTCCCCATGCCTCCCCAATCTCCCCCATACCTCTTCCCCCGCGCAGGGGCGGCCGTGCGCCTCTCGCTGCGCGCAGCTCCTCCCTCCCCAACCTCGCCGAATCTCGGGCAATCTCGGGCAATCTCGGGCGCCCCCTCTTCCGTGGCCCGGAGAAGCGCGCGCGGCGCTGCGGCGGCGGCGGCGGCGGCGGCGGCGGAGGAGGGGGAGGAGGAGGAGGAGGGGGAGGAGGGGGGCGGGGAGGAGGAGGGGCGCGAGGGGCGCGAGGGGGCGGCTGGGGAGGCGGCAGCTCGCTGTGCGGGTCGGCCTCCGAGGAGGGGCATATCTCCCCAGATCTCCCCGGATCTCCCCAGATCTCGCCACAGCCGGCCTCCGAGGAGGGGCGAGGCGCTCTAGAAGGATTATCTAGAAGGCGGCGAGACGTATCTAGACGGGCTCTAGTCCACCAGTCCAGCGCTCGAGAGGACACGCTCTCCGCCGTGTTCGGCCGCCTTCCTGCGGCCCTCAGTTCAGCTCGCAGCCCCCCCTCGTACCCACTACGGGCTCCGCGTCATCCTCCGACAGCGCAGCGCTCACTGCCTCCTCCTTCTTCTGGCGGATCACGTACGGGCGCGAACGCTTGTTCGGATAGGAAAAGATGGGGGGGGGGGGGGAATCCTCATTCCCACTTAC